AAATTTATTTTATAATTGTGTACAATGCAGAATATTCAAGTTTGTCTCGTTAAACTTGTTTGTACTGAACTCAGCAAGATGTCTAATGTTATATTTAAATTTTATTTACTCACCAAAAACTTAATTTATTTTAATCCGCTGAACTACCAAAGTTACACATGTTAAAGACATGTAAATAAAAGTTGTTGTAAAGAAGTCGTTAGATGATAAGTTTGTATCAAAAAATACCAGAACATAAAACCATTGAAGGAGTAATTAAAGGTTTGCGAACACTAGCGGAAGAATTGGGGGCAAGCGACTCTTAGCCCTGCCCAGCTCACCATCGCTGCGGCTTTGTGCATAGCAAATAATTAAAATAAGCTACTACTCGCCCCGTTTCAATGGGTCAACGCTCCACATCCAATCAACATTCTCACAATTTAACGAACCGAAGTCAGCCAATAGTCGCTTGAGGCAGACGTCGAGACGGCTGCATGTCCATCTGAAACGTTGGAAGAGGTCCCAACGCAAAATAGAAAGAAGCACCTCGTCAAGAAAATATGTGGCAAGAAACGAACGGAGAGCAATGTGCGATCGTAAATGAGAAGCAAAAGACCGCAAAAACCTCACTAATGGGTCCACCACGTCCTCCGGGAGGCTTTTTAATTGCATGACCTTTGGCCGTCACGTCCTTCCCGGCGACGCTCGCGTTGCGACACAGACATCAGCGGCGCCGCTGGGTCACTGTCACTTTATGGGCGTCCCTCGTGGAAGAACGAGCTTGATGACGTCACTGCGAAATAGCCTCATAACTCGCAGGTGGTTAGAGGCGTAAATGTTTGCTAGGAGAAGCGTTCTGGCGGTGTCGCGAGTTCAAACGTAGGTAACCTCCAAGGCCATTGTTGTTGGCTCGAATCGTCTTGAATGGCTAAGCAGAAGATTGACTTGACTGGAGCTTGTTTCTACTTGATGAAGTAAATGGAGTGTATCGTCTCTTTTGATGTGAGAAACAAGTCGTCTGTGGTGTTCTCCGGAGTTACCATGACCTACTCGGAGACTTAAATTGAAAGTAAATACGGTAACCTCATTTTAAACCCATTGGATACGAAAAGTTCATGTAGAAAAGTGTTATTAATATTAACATTCAAAGTACCTCGTGTCGTAGTCAATGAAAATGACGAAGGTTGCAAGCCTATCGAGGTAATAGGTCAAGAAGATAAGGACGAGAACGAATTAGGAATTGTAACTTTCTGTTTGACAGTGAGCTGAGTAAAAGACAACAACTTGTACAATAATTTGTACTATAAGAAAATCAGCATTTTTATGCTGTTAATTTAGTGTCTTGGTTGAAGGTTTCTGAGGAATAAAAAATATTGTACTAGCGAAAGAACATCTATATTTTGGTTCAAATGAGAGAGGTCAACACGGGAAACGGGCAGCAACACTGCAGTATACAAATATTGACTGCCGGCTTTTCAAGGCATTGGCGTCACCTGACGTACCAGCAAGTGTAGCGTGGGGAGACCACCCATCAATATCAGACTTCAATGGGTTAATAAACTTATGTTCACCTTGATAACATCATTTATTTCAACTGATCTTCATGTTAATTACCCAATCTCAATTTTTACTATACTATTTTGATTGTTTTGAAATAAGAAGATGTTTTTGAACTTAGTGTCTGTAGGTACGAAAATTCCTCCATGTAATACAAAATTACATTATTGTGCATATAAAAAGTGCAGTTTATTTTTTACGTAAAGTGAAACAGTAGAATAACTCCATTTGAAATTTGATTTCCTGAACTTTTCAAAAAAACAAATTTTCTTTTTTTGAATATATATTTAAATTTTGCGGTGGTACTTTACAGAATAATCTCAACGACAGTTTTAAAATGAATTAAAATGTCTCCAAATGTTTAATTATTTTATAGATAAGAGCACGCCTGTAAAAATTGAGCAAGTCTGATATTTTGTTGAACTCTGAGTGTTCATAAAAAGTAAAAGTTTCAGTAATGCGAGAATGTATGTGCTGATGTATCACAGGCGCGGATCCACGAGGAGGGAAATGAGGAAAATTCCCCTCACTATTTTTTCCCTAACTATTAATTTTAATCTGTCATGAAATTTTCAAGCAAAAATATTTTCCAATGACCATTAAAACGAATAAAATCGTGTTTCAGAAAGTTCTGAGTGTAGCCTACGGCATTTTACAAGTCCGTAATGACACTCTTGACCCCCCAAAAAATTGAATTTCCCCTCCAATAACTTTGTCTCTGGACCCGCCCCTGTGTAACACCTCTAGTTGTTTCTGTTTGAGTGACGCCAACCTCAGAGTCACATGCTCTATAAGCTCTTGAGTCGCTTGCTGAGGCCCATGGCGTCATTGTCCATGCTGAGGTCCATGACGAAACCTGAGACGCGACGAGGAAAAAGTTTTGATGAGTGTCTCTGTCTGTCTGCAGGAGGCGCCATGTGAGGCGTCGATCAATCCTCCGCCGCTGTCGCCATCGCCATGAGCCGCCACCGCCGCGGCGCTGCGCCCGTGGGCCCCCAGGCGCAGGCACCAGTGGTGATGATGGTGCTGGTGGTGCTAGCGGGGCGGGCGGCCCTCGCCCAGGAGGTACGTCAATGCAGCACTTTTTTTTCGCGGACTTGTTCCAGCGTCAGGGGATGACGATTTTTCGAATAAACGCGCCGAGTACTCGCTATGTCCCTCATGGAGACACATATTAGCCTTTACACTGGACACTGACAGTGGGCTCCTCTGTGGTCAGCAGACGCATAAGGCCTCCCGCGAGGTCAGCAGACACATAGTACTCGTACATGAAAGACAAGGGGCAAACAACCATGCCCACGGCGGAACCGAAACCGCGACCCTTCCCACCGATGCGTTGAGTCAGCACACGTTCTAGCCTCCTTGGCCATCCAGGTCGGCTGCTTGAATACTGCACTAAATATTCTTATTTTTATAAATGCTTATTACAAACTCAATCTTTACTCATTAATAAGTTTAGGAAGAGTTTAATAGGATATTATCCGGTTTAAATGTAGTGTCCCTTCAAGGGCAAGAGGCAGAAGGAGAGGGGGACACTGTCATCCAAACAGGAGCTTCGTTATGTCTGAGAGTTTTGGTATTGAGGCTCTAGACTAGATGGCAGGTTCTCCCTGTCGCTTCAGCTAGTTATTATGAAGGATCACTACATTTCCATTGGAGTATAGTCTACTAAACTCTTTCTAAACTTATTAAGGTCAGGTGCAAAAGTTACGTGATATTTTGTTCCAGAGTCTTAACTATGATACGAAAATAATAAGAGACATGGAAATATTTGTTACACCTCCCTTACCACACACAGAGGAACTTGTTTTCATTTTATAGTTACTATCTAGTCCTTATAACATTAAATCAGAACTTTTTCCCAAGAAACTAAATATTTTTTCTTTGAAATATAGTTCTTTCCTTAAAATTTACATCATTATTCATCAAACGTAGCCTGTAATCTTTCAATTTGCACCGGGTAAGAATTATGTCTCAACTTCGGCGAAAGTAGTTCTCAATTGCCATCCATATTTCTCTTCATGTTTCACATTTCAAATTTGAATCTTTCAGTCTACATCGCATCCATTACCTGGCCGTAAGCCACGCTAAGCGCACATTCTCTGTGCGTTATACATTCTCGAATCCTAATGGAATGGTTTATTATAAAACTTTTTCGTGCAATCAGTGTTCTTCCTCCGTCAGGCACGAGAGTTGCGAACGGCGACAACTTTTCAGCCTTTGCCCTCGAGGATGGCACAAGTTAGGTAACTGCTTCTCGGCACTAGAATCCAGTTAAATTTACCATTTTCCGCACTACAAGCAGCAATAATTTTTATCTATTACACTGTTCCTTCTAGGAAACTTCTAAACTAATAAGTATATGTTTTAAATATGTCTTGAAACTTGTCTATAAGAAATATTATATTTTTGAGTCATTGACTTGGGTTTAAAAAATAATTTAAAGGAAAAAATATATTCATTATAATTGAATGGTTAATATTTAAGTGACTTTTCCGATATGCATTAAATTAGAATAAAATACATACCTATCTAAAAAAAACTTTAAGTCCTGTTCAAGCTACTATATACCATGTACAGTTTAAATATGAATATTACCGGAATTTGCTTGCTAAGCAATTGTAGACACCCGTTCGGATGAGTGCACATGTCACTCTGTTGGGTAATATGGCACTGCTGTTATTACTTGACGAAGGTGTCTGTTCGTCGCATCCGCCTCGCGGCCGCATTTCTTTCGCCGCGCGTTGCGCGACTGAGGCGCCGTCACGGGGACTGTCATGTCGGAAGCGTCGCTGTGTCCCCACTGACAATCCGCGGCGCCGTACGAGCTTTCTCCGTGCAGCTGCCGCGCCCCTGACGTAACACGATGCCTCTCCAGTCCTGATCCGCTGCCACTGCTGCTGACCCCACCGCCGCTACCGTCTCCTCCACCGCCTCCGCCGCCACCACTGACGCTACCGCCGCATCCAACGAACGCCACCGCCATTGCCGTCTCCGTCATTGCCGTCTCCGTCATTGCCGTCTCCGTCATTGCCGTCTCCGTCTTTGCCGTCTCCGTCTTTGCCGTCTCCGTCTTTACCGTCTCTGTCTTTACCGCTACTGCCTCTGCTACTACCCCATCACCGCTTCCGTCGCCGTCACCTCCGCGTCCTCCACCGTGCGCCTTGTTCCATTACTGAGACAACCTGAGATAACGGGACTACTTTGTCGCTAGCGAGGCCGCGCGAAGTGGAAGGATAGGGTTGATAAGAAGGAACGTTACATTAGCCAAGACGAGATTCGAGCCTCTTGCGAAGATCCTTCAAGTTTTGTTTGTAATCTTCCGGGTTCGGTGGAACGCATTGCTTCTCTCGACTGGTGTTACTCTATTGTGTTATTTTAAAGCTAGATTTTCTGAGTGTTCTTAAGTTACCAATTTCGCTCTATAGACTCTCATTTGTTACCAGGGATCGTCTTGAAAGACGATGTCTGACATATTTATGGTACCTAGGATATTCATTATCTTGACTTAGTATTGGCAGTTTTCAGGTGGTATCTTAAATTCAACGTTGTTATTGTTCACGAGACATAACACAATATCGGAGATTTTGAGTATGAAAAGGCACAATATGAAAAAAACGTGTTTAACAATCAGTAAAATACAAACGTAGATTCTGTAAAATCGACATTTACAGTGAAATTCCCTATTTTCCTACAGTCGTAATATTAATCTCCCGGATCATCGAATTTCACGTCGAAAATCAATTAGAAGACTACACTAATCGAATGTACGCATCATAGGACTTTATTTAAAACCGTTTCGGTAGAATAGCAGCATCTTGAGTGCAATTGTGTGAAGATTGCTAGGTGGCCAGGCAGAGAAGCAGGTGAAGAAAGCCCCAATGTAAATGGAAAAGCTACGTCCTCAGTAACCTCTAATGAGATTGACAAATGTGTTCAACAAGGGATATTCGCGAAACAAATCCTACTTGATAAACTAGTGGTGCTACAAAAGCGTATACATTCTCACATTATTTCTAACTTTTGTAGTTTTCAAAATTCAGAGTTCAACGAAAATGAGACTTATGCCATTCTTTTAAGAGTCCCTTGTTCTAACCATGGAACAAGTTAAAGAAACAATTTAGAGCAGTTTTTGAGAATATTTTTTTTATATAATATGCATTATTTTCGCGCGAAACTACGTTCGAATTATGCGAAAACTGGAAAAACGGAAGAACAGACGGACGGACGTTTTGCAGTCAATCGGTTTTTCTGTATCAAGGAGCCACGAAACATGTATCCTGACAACAGAATGCGTTGGAGAAAATTACTTACTACATGTAGAAACAATATTTATCCACTTTTTTGTTATCAGGGCCCGGCAGTAACACTTTTTTGTCAAAAAATCGCCAATTTCCGGCCAACAATTACGGTACTTTCTCTTCTAACGGCGTAAGAGGATAAAGTAAAAATATTACTTGGAAATGACAATTGAGGCTCAGTCAGTTTCCAGTTCGTCGATTGTGCAGACCACGTTACACGCATTCGAGAAAAATGAAAAACCAACTGAAAACACTCTCAGTTTTGAATTTCGTAATCATTTTACTAATTATAATTTGCCGAATGTTTAACTAACCGGCGGTAACGATTAAAAAAATACGCAGCTTTATTAAAAATCATATTTAAAGTGATTTTGATATCGAATAATCCATATAAGTAATTAATTTATTTCATTACAGGTTTCCAGTAATCAAGACCTTGTGGAGAAATTCTCTTGTGAAGGAAGAGCTGCAGGTTTCTACGCAGATATTCCTTCTGGTTGTCAGGTAAAAAACCAACAAAATAAATACCTTAATGTAATAGAGCTTTATTTTTTTTCATTTAATAAATATCTTAATTTGAACTACTTAACAATACTCCATCGGAATAACATATTTATACTTGTGAATGTCTCTACCTAAGCAAAAATTGACAAGTTACAAGGTTATTTCTACTTTACATAAGATTTCCTTTTTATTGTACATTATATTATCGTGACAGACTTATTGCTATATTTTAATCAGATATGCGTTTATAAATCAAATCCATAAATAAGTAAAATATATGTATTGTTAACCTAGCTATACATTACAACAAGCGCTGTTGCACATACTTTCTCGTATTATTGGTATCGAGCACGTAATGTTAAAGTATTCGGCTAACACTTCAACCTTCACTTGAAAAACTCTTAACCGAACAAACGGCGATAGATTGGCAAAAAATACATTTCTTTAAGTTTAAAAGTACAAACGAGTATGGGTCTGCAATTGAATTCAGTATGTTGTACTTTATTCTTACAAAATTAAGAAAACATATTTACCCAGGCTGGGGTTCACACCCGATCGCTAAGATGACAAGTCAAGACACCCCAAAGTTATTTAACATATTGCAGAACTATTCCAATTACAATGCTATAACGAATTCTTAATGTTGTAGGGATTCTAACACATTTAAACATATTATGACGCTTGATCTAATATTTTAAGAAAAAAGGAACAAAATATTTTAAATATTTCATACTGGGCAATAGATCACATTATAAAAGAAACCTGTAATATTGAAGGTGTAGTATGCGTTCGAAAAAGAAGTAGGTGTTTGCCACCATGTAACTCAAAATTACGTGGAAACTACTTATGTTTTTTAGAAAGTATAACTGAGATAATTTAAACATTTGGGTCTGGGAAATAAATTCTTTTAAGTATAGCAATATCTAGCTTTAATAATGTAGAAAGAATAGCGCGAACAAGTTTGAACGTTTGCAATTTTAGAAATTTCAGAGGTGTAAGTAAAATAAAATCAACATCATATTATTCAATGAACTTTGGTTTATTCGAAAAAAGTGGAATTTGTGACACCATTTTTGGCAAAATTGGTGTCTTTGGTGTCTACTTGTAAAGTACCCCTCAAAATGAACAGCTTTTGTTTAAACTCGAGTCGTGGCTTGGAGGTACCTGCAGGAATCAACGTGTTTTTGAGGTTTCTCAATTCGTTTTCATTACAACTTGTGCTTTAAAAAATTTTGTTGTTGTGAGTACAGTGTTACAAGATTTGTATTACGCGCGGCCAGCGCACACTCAGGCCGTAATGAGCGCCAAACGGAATACTAGAATATTCTGTTTCTCCAGAGGGCGCTACTTTCACTGCAAAAATTATGACTTCAATTTTCTGCAAAGATGGCGGCACTTCAGCCACTCTGTGTAGTACATTCTGTCTCATTGGGTGGCGCTGACAACGACGCGCGCTCAACGCCATCGCCTTCGGATGTCGGTAGTTTTGGAAACTCGTTAGCCAAGCCACTGGGCGAACTACTAGACCTGGGTCCGTTCCCGTATTCCGTTTCGTAACACTTTAAAACAAAATAAAATCCTACCGCCATTCGCGCGAATTGCGACCGCGTGTTGCAGATGTACCACAACTGCGACGAGGCGGGTCGCGTGTTCACGCACACGTGCCCGGAGCGCACGCTGTTCCAGCAGCGCACCATGGTGTGCGACCACTGGTACATGGTGGAGTGCAGCGGGGCGTCCCCGCCCCCTGCTGCGCCGCCCAGACCCCGGCCGTCCGCGCGCCGCTCGCCCCCGCTGCAGGTGCAGGCGGCGCCCGCGGGCGGGGCGGACCCGGCGCGCAAGCGCCACAGCCAGCGCGTCGTCGGTAAGCGGGGCTTTCACGGAGGGGATAACAGCTGAACTCTAGGGGGTCAGATAGTTTTATTACATGGAAGCAAAAACCTTATAAAATCTTACCAAAAACTCTCTTTGCTACCATAATTTGCTTTAACAAAATAGAATTATACAATATTAAATAGCGTCACAGAAATGACTTATGGATAGGGTCAGTCTTTCGTAAATATTTAAATATTTACGAAAGACTTATATTAAAAGAAAGACTTATATTAAAAGAAAGACTTATATTAAAAGAAAGACTTATATTTAAAGAAAGAGTTATATTTAAAGAAAGAGTTATATTTAAAGAAAGAGTTATATTTAAAGAAAGACTTATATTTAAATTTTTATGATACATTTCGTAAATGTGAATTCAATTGTTACATGATTATCAATGGTCTATTATTGCTTTGATTTCAGCCACATTCCCTTATCAACGAGGTAACGAATCAACGAACCAAAATAGCAATGTGAGAAGCTCTAATTCTCAAGATCGGTTGAAGAGTTTTAAGATAAGTTCAAATTCTCAAGAGAAACTGGAGAGTTTTAAGATCAGCTCAAGTCCTCAAGAGAAACTGGAGAGTTTTAAGATCAGCTCAAGTCCTCAAGAGAAACTGGAGAGTTTTAAGATAAGCTCAAGTCCACAAGAAAAGCTGGAGAGCTTCAAGATCAGCTCCTTACCCAGCACTACCCCACGCAGCTTCGATCCAGTTACTCCCAGTACTATCGTCTCCTCCCCACCGCACGTTGCATTTTCAAGCACGCCGCCCAACGTCTTTTCGAGTACTCCGCGCACCGTCATCGCAAGCTCACCGCGCCCCTTCGTGTCCAGTGCAGCCAGAATAGAGCGAGTGGAACGACCTATAGGCACGTTCGTGCCTATCATTCCGTTCCACAACGTCGAGCAAAATCGAGAACGAGAATTTCGCAACCTCAATCGACCTGTCCCAACAGTCGGACGCGCCAAGATCGAACGCGTTTTCAAAGAATCTGTTTTGAGCTCTCCAGGCGCCGCTGTCATATCGCAGGTGCAATACATTTCTCCTTTCCGAGAACCCAAGGCAGAATTCCAATTCCCTTCTACGACTCCTCGAACAACATCTCAAGCGACGCCTTCTTTCATTGAAAACAAGTACAACAACAACCCTTACTTCGAATCGTACTTCCGGACGTCATACGCTTTTGAATCGACCACGACGAGCAAGCCTGTTCAAACCACAACCACACGGAGCTACGTTCGACAAGAAGAGGAGGATATTTCAGAAAACAAGGTGGAGCTTGTGATTCCCGACCCGAGGAAGATGTTTTACATTCCGGAATCCAATTACGACCCGGGTGAATCGGCCAAAGAGGGCGGCACTGTCCTCGTCATCGAGCTGCCCGGGAAGAACTCCATGAAGTTCCAGAGGGTGGGGGTGACGGAGGCCCGTAACCACGACTGCCCGCAGTGCCATCCGTCGTTTCTGCTGCCCGGTTTATGCCGGCCCTGTGTGCTCATCAGATGACGTGAAGAATTTAATCCTGTAATTGTAGGAAGTGCTCCGGCATTTATAATGTCCTTTCCATAAACTGAGGTAGACATCACTTTAAAAGTTTATTTATGTAGATATAAAGCAAATTGACATAGATCATTTTCAGCAACACAAAAATAATTAGAAAAAGTAATATTGTACAGTGGGATTTAAATACAAATATTAATGGTTTATAAGGAAAGAAAAACATATAAATATGTAAATATAATCACAATAGAGAAAAGTAAGGCATTATAAATACATCAATAAGGGTAGTTAAAAAAGGCACATCATGAGTTTGTGCAGCTGGATCCTAATAAAAAAAATCAACAGATGAAGCAGAGGTGAAAGGTAGATTCTAAAGATAAATTGGCTGCTGGAAGCCGTTGCATTCTAGGTAGAGTTGCCAACGTTTCTGCCGTCATATTGCAACTTCCAATAGGACAAAGTGCTGTGAGAAAGGCATTTCGCCCTGGGTAACGTCTCCATTGGACGGCTGAAACGTTGGCAACTATGCCTTCAAGGCGACACAGCGTCTTCCGGACAGCCAAGTGTGAAATGGCTCCTGCCGCGGAAGCCCCTGCTTGAAAAGCAAAATATTATCTAAAGACCGAGACATTTAAATATAATTTTAAATTCCTAATTTTAAACGAATATGCTTTTGTGTGCGCTCTTTAAGTCTTTTTAAAGTTGGCTTATTTCTCATAGTGTAACACCTTCCCTTTTTCTTATTACCTTTCGCCCCTTGTAAGAGGTATGTTACGTACAACTTTTGTCGTTTTTGAATACCCACCCAAAATATTTATACAGTAAATATATTTTTTGATAAGTCTACCTCAGTTTATGTCTTGAATCTCGACAATGTGAAGAAGATATCATAGATGAATATTTTATAATGCAGGGCCGACTTTTTGATAATTCTATCTCTTTTTATCCTTTAGTGTTGGTATATATCCTATCACTGTTAATGCTGTCTTGAAATTACTGCTGTAAGAATTGATTTTTATTTGTCTGTCAGGCTGCCGCAGAGGAGAGATTAGCGCAACTTGTGTGACATCTTACACTGCATCTTTATTCGCATTTTGCGCGGGTTACGAAAAGCACAATTAACACCGCTGTTTCAAAGCTCCTTTTCTACTTCCTCATTCACAGCACTTGAATCACAGTTTTTTTACTTGTTTATCTGCATCTTTATTTGCAGTCGGCAGAATTAAGAACTACTGTTGTTTTGGAAGTAAAAGTCCGAACCTGCAACCGAACTTGCATGAATAGTGCCGCTGTGAAACAGCATCTGGCCAGTGCTGATGCCAGTGAGATAGTCCTGGAAAAGGTGCTTGTTTGTTTTTGTGATGTCTGCGACGAAACGAAATTCCTAAAGTCACTTTAAAATGTATTTTTCCTTTGCATACATCTACCGAACAATGGCTACTGCTCGGTTCTCAGCGGGTTTATCCGCTCATTGCATTCTCATTTGTCATTGCTGATTGAATTGCACATGCGACTCGGTCAGTCGGCTGTGACCTCTTGTAAACAGATCGCAGCGCCTGCATGTGCAAATGTAAAATGAATGAGTAACATTACTTCCATCGTTTGTTTAAAAAAGCCTTGGGATAGGATGGTATGCTTATAAACGCGATCAGCTGCCGAAAGCAAGAAATATATGGTTAAGATATTGGTCAATTACGAAAAGCAAAACAAATTTCTTATGTTTATGACGTAATACTTTTTCAGTTCCCCAAAGTTGGTTCACGTTCAGCGAATTTCCCTATATATATATATATATATATATATATATATATATATATATATATATATATTTGTTCACTTATCATCCTTGTATTATCACTAAATTAATAATGTTCAAATACAGATCGAGAGGTCACACATTACTTAAAGCAGACGATTTTTTTTTAATTTCCTAGGTACGCTACTCGTAGGTTGTACGAGTTCGCAAAGTAGTTAGATGAATGGTCATTTAGATGAACGATGTGCCTCAGTTTTTTCATATCCCTGTTACGTGGGTGAACGTAGAAGGCTGATTGTCCTTCAGTCATGCAATAGGAAGTCCACCAAGATTCTTTGTCATAACTTTCCCACGCATGAGCAATTCGAAATGCTGCCATTTGTCCGTCAGCTGACCTTGAAGAAGGAAATACAATACTCTGCAGTGCATTATTCAAAACATCAGATGCAACAACTTACTTCTACGCTGTTTCTTTTTGTAGTGGTGATGGTCAGTATTTTCAACTTTCTATGCACGTCCGAAGATTATTAAAGACTTCAGAACGATAGGCGTTCAGAATTGCTATAAGGAATAGTCGAAAAACAGTGAGCTGTAATCTTTTTCATTCTAAAGAGGGATGTCTTCTTCACTTTGCCAGATAATTCCATGACATAGCTTAGATAATTATATATTTTGACATTTAATTCGTTTTTGTATAATAATTTATGGTAACTTAAATGAAGTGAAATGCATGTAGCACATGTATGTATGTTTGTAGTGACATTATGTTCAGTATTTGTAGACTTATGTCATTTTATAGCAATACTAATTTTTTATATTTATTGAGTATTTTTTTTATTTATTTGTTCGAATCTTCTCCAATGATTCTACTCCGTCTATTCTCTTTTCTATTTATGTAGGACTACATACAAGTCCAGCTGTGATAAATGTTCGTAAGTACGGAGGGCGTTCAATAAGTTATCTGCCTAAGCGTGAATATGAAATTTTATATTAAAACTCACCTCATTACTTTTCAATGCAGTTCCAATTCACTTCAACACACTTGGTCTATTTAGCCTTCAGTGATCGAAAACCCTCAGAAAGAAGGAAACATTTTGATTGTCCAGATACAGATACAGTTCCTTAACTGCTTCATCGCCAGGAAATCGTCACTTATTCATAATTTTTTCATATTTCGAATGAAAAAGTACCTGGGAGCCAGATATGGACTATATGGAGGATCATTAAGTTGTATGAAAACAGTGTTCAAAATCTCTGATTTTCTAACGATGTTCGAAATCTCTCATTTACTGTGTTGACCCGCACGGCACTGCACTTGCCATTTTCTCTCATCAAGAGCTTATGGCAGACTGATTCGTAATCGAGGCCTAACCATACAAACACATGTCCCAACTTGCCTGTGCACGCTCTGCTCTCCAATAATAGTAATACCTTTTCTAAAAAAATATCCATTGGTATACAAAACAAGGAAACCAAGGACGTTTGAGAAAACAATAGCCCGATTTTTGCTCTATGTAAAGATGTGTAATACTCATAAAATGTAAATACTTGCGGTACGACGTATTTTTTTGGCAAGAACATTACTATTAATATCAAGTGCAGCATATTAGTCATTTACGTCTATGCTTACAAAATTATTTCATGCAATTCTCATTAAATCAATGATTAAACCATAGGACTCTAAAAAACAATATTTTTTACGGTTTTCAGGTATACGTGTACTATAAGAACGATTCTATTTACCTATCCCAAATTTTGTTAATACACGATGTTCTGTTAATTATTACGTACGTTATGATTCCATCCCCCCCATACGTTAATCTTAGGTCTTCCTAATATCAAACATTTAAATCCTGAGAGCATTGTCGTGATATAGATAAACGAGACAGATTACTTTTCTAAGTACTGGTAAACATTTACGAAGATAACGTAAAGTCGGAACTACATACTGCACATATTAAGAAAACAAATATAAAAAGGCGGTATCTGTATCAAACTACACTCTATCCATAGATCACACCTTTTAGGTAAACGATCTTGAATAAACGAAATGCGTATGAGATACTGCTAAGTACATTATTTGCTCAGTCGAGCCTTTCAAGTTCCAGCATAAATATTTGCGTTACCTTTGCTTACGCTGTTATCACACTTCAAACATTGGCATCTATTCATCGTACATACGCCACGCATAATTACACAAGAGTGACGACACAGATTTATTCTTTCTTTTCGCGTTTTTCGTGTTGTGTTTCATTAAGTTTCATTACAACATTATTTCTTACTTCTCCTTCTTCCAACATGGCATTTTGATCGCCAACTAGACAAATTGATTGACGGTTACAAAATAAAATCGCTAAAATGACTTAAGTGTTTACGTCAATCGATCATAAAAATATCAACAAGTTCATACATGTCTAATCCAAAACAAACTGCTCCAGCTCCCAAAGAAATGTTCAGAAAAGTAATCACATACAGCAGAGTAAGGTAAGGACGGGTAAAGGTGAATAGAAGATAAGAAATTGTGATTGGAACTATCGCAACAAGACGCAACATATGGCCTCAAGGAACGACAACGCGTTGTCTCAATTGAAGATCCTACACCACACATAAAGGCGAGGACAGAAACACTGTCCGAAACTGATGCCACTACCATGCCCCCGGACTCGAACTCACGTCTACATCGGACCAAGAACGACACAGCACAACAGGTGAGTGTCGCCATACAGCAGTGATAATTCGCTTGAGAACTTAAAAAAACTGTACGCCAATACTTAATGCGTGAGGTAAAAGATCAATACCGATTTTTAAAGGACGTTTTCTTATATCTGGGGCAACGTGACTTCTGGAGTGTTAACACAATTCCTAAATATTAATATATTTTTCCTCTAGATCCAAACAATAACCGGCTCAGCGCCACTAACCGGGAGGTCATTTCGTTCGAGTCCCAACGGTGGCGAATTTCCGACTTTAACTACATATCTTGATCGGATTTTGATACTGGAGGAGAATTCTAGCGGCAGACTGCCCTGGTCGGTAGTTTTCAGTGTTTTCCCGGTCACTACCTGATGAATGTCGGAGCAGAACATTTACAAACGATCCATGGACTGTTCGGGCTCTCTCCTCCACTTTCTTCCTCTCTTCTCCTTTTTATGCATACACGCACACTCTTACATTATTCCATCACACATATCCGGAGACCAGGCGGGAGCTTACAACTTGTTCCGGTTGGGGCAGTGTACCGCTGAAGGAGGTGCCTGAAGGAGGAAAAACCCTGAAAGCCGAGTGTAGGACGGCGCTACCATCTCCCGGGATGTAACATACACTATACTTACTAGACTAACGACCATTGTAGTTGATTCACCGGGAAACACTAAATAATTAATAAATGAAATTCAAACAGTGCAACTCTGTTTGAATAATTTTGAATCAGAAAGTCCGTTGACGTAGAGATATATTGCTTCGTTGATCCGATGTCTTTGATTGTTCGGGACTCTTTCGAAGAGTGTTTCAGTTTTTTCATTTATTCTTCTCGATGCCCTCCATCTGCCCTGTTCTCCAGAGTCCAGTCGCTGAAGCTCCGCCTAATCCGGCTCTGTTCGAAAGGTATTACGGTTTGTTAAGCGGACAATATAGCCGTGCCATAAAATGAATGCAAGGACGATTGCAATTGAGTTCCCACTTAGTGACGTCAACGCCCTGCGTCGTGAGGAAAATGAGTGGGAGATGCGGCAGCTGTGATCAGTCGCGTGTGGCAAGTGTGTCACCTCCGGCCGGTAGTTCTCGGAAATCAATAACACGTTGTGCGGTGCTGGACTGCGAACGAGCTTCCTCCGGGCGAGACACAAAGATGATTGTGTATTCAGGTTTCAATCGGTTTGTTCCCGTTTATCTCTTTAAGTAATTCGTCATTTGAAGAAAACGGTGATCGGAGGTGATAGCGAACTGTTAGACAATATTTCTACGTGTATATTTTTATGAATTCAATCCAGAATCCATCACATCTCGAACAGGTTTTTAATTCAAATTTTTCTTGATTCATTGAGCGAATGCTGAGATGGTCCCTTGTTATGCTTTTGGACATAAATTTTGTTTGATTGTCTGTCCATATTTTTTTGATCTCAATGGGGAACATTACGAACTCGTATTATTCAAATACAAGTTCATGTCCTCGCGGCAGTTAGTTGATTCCTTCACATAGAGTACAATAATATATAACAGACAAAATGTTTCTCTTTTGCTGTTGCATATAGTTTTTATTGCATTGGAACGAACATTTTCTTATCAAATATTGACAAAAATGCTCATTGCTACATGTATTCTTAATTTGAATCTGTGATTCTGTTGTTTGGCCTCCGATACCCTTGAAGGATATAAGTATTGTGTGATACGGGAAAAAGGAAGTATCTCCTGTGCTTCGTGTTGATTGTATCTCTGTATCTTGTTAGATGTTTGATGCCTTCCTCTATATCTTCTTCGTTTCTTAATGGGGTGTTTCCCAAAAGTCTACTGCCTATGATTTCCCGAAAGATATTCCAGTTTGTCTTTTTGTTATACAATTTTGTTATGTGATGTAGGTCGTTGCAAAACTCTGGAGATGATTGTTAAAGTTTCAGAGCTATGATCTGAAGATGTACTAAAGTTTGATATTTTAAAGTTTTTGACTATGATAGTTTCTTTTTTAGTATAGACATCCATTAGATCACAAATTTTTATAAACGTCTGATTGTCAGTACATCGGTCCTTCAGTTAAATATTAGTTTATTATTTCTGTGGTATAATTGTTGTGTTGGATACATTTATGAAGTTGTCATTTAACCTTCTGTGCTGTACTGAAGCGAAAAAAATCAACGGTTTTTTGACAGAGTAACTCCTATTGACAGGCCCTGCACAAATCTCTTACTGTCGGTTCCTGGTAACGAAATAGTGCATATACATTGTTATTGTATGTAGTAAATTACTTTCTCACGTTGAGTAGCCAGAATCCATGAATTGTGGAATCATGACACCAAAAAATCGATTGACGATCGAAAAATGTCTGACTGTGGAACTGTGACAGGTAATTAAAATGTTGACAGAGCTGTTATTATCCCAATTTGAGGAATACAGAGCTGATTTTATCCTAGGGCGAGAAGGTATGTCACCCCAATATCATCGCAATGAACGTGACAGACTGATTCAGCGCCAGAGTGGCCGAATACCTGCAGGTGGCCATTCATTATAATTAACTGCCCTTTAATTAGGTGGGCACCACTCCACTCAAATGCATTTAATACTCGTAAAGCGTTTTTTTTACGTTTACTGGAAAACGCTGTTAATACAGTGAGCCAGGAAAGTCACTCAGCTCCGAGCCGCATCAGGGACTTTTATTAAAAGTTACATTTATGTTGCTAGCAACGAAAACGCTGAGGAACAAATGAAGGGGGCCACACTTTCAGCATCTGCTACGATTGAGGTTAGTATTTAATTTCGGTTATTTTTTACAAGCTGCAGATCCTACTACCTACATAATTTCTGTTGTTAGCACTCTCACAGGTAGGGTGCTGCTGCGGAAATACTTTTCTGGCGCACCGTGCATATAAATTATAACATATGATCACAACGACAAAATTAATAGAAACCTATTTGACATAAAACCATTCGAATACTACATACAACAGACATAAGTAATAATTTAATTTATACGAGTCATGGAGGACGTCCACCATTAAATTGCAAAGTGACCGTTTTTAAATTTTACACCAAAGTTTCTTTATCCCACGACCTCATATTCCTTTGCAGTTTTGTTACTTTACATCCTTTTTGTTGATGTATCCAATGCACTTTGACTACGTATTTCATTCTCCTCTCTAACCACACTGAACATTTCAATGAAAAAGTATCATTGACCACTTCTCTCAGCATTCTCATTTATACTCCACCCAGACTCAGTTCTCACTCTTTAGTACCTCAAAAACATTACTGCACACATATTAATTATCTTCTCGGAAATATCTCTAAAGTATTGTTTTCGTTTGTTGATTGTCCTTTTGCGGCAGAAGTCTGAATTCTTTTTCTCACACATTTAGAGCCTGTGCTCGAACACGACCTAATATCATTCTATCTTCAGACTACGCGTCAATTGATCTTTTTTTATCTTGCCGAAAGCGTCATAAAGTTCCTCGAAAACTCAAACGTTTTCTGTGAAAATGAGCTGAAAATTCCACAATTTCAGACACACTTAAACGCCTTTTTCTAAAAAACAGCTCCAATTTTTTTCTTCCAACTTTTCGTGTGTAGAGCGCTAAATGCGCTGTTTGAAATGATCAAAAACTCTTTTTGTGGGTATTCTTTTGTTTTTTCAAAAATTACACAAGTGTATGTTCTCTCACGCCATTGATATGCACATTTTCTGCGATTTCTGCGATATACACGATTGCATATGAGAGTGGTAGTGCTTCAAATGACTTCCAATGAAGTTTTTCGAAAACTCAAAAGATTTCTGTTAAAAATTAAGCTTCAAATTTCGCATTTACAGTAATGCATAAACGCCATTTTCTTAAAATAGGCTCCAAAATGTTCAACGAAAATTTCCTTATAGAACGAGGTTTTACTCTTCTATAATATTCCTAAAATAATTCTTTGGTTCTACTATTAGGATTCCGAAAAAATTGAGAAAACAAAAAAAGTACAATGAAACTATACATTAGATTCATTGCAAACTAAATAAAACCCTTGTCGATGTGGCTTCACTCTAAGCTCCCTGATTTTGAAAAAGATTCATTAATTTGGGGGGGACTTTACATGAACTCCCTGAGAAATTTTCAATTTTCAATTTTCTTTTATTTCTGATAAAAATAAAGTACACTTTTAGAGGTGGCATAGCTATGCTTTTCACTGTTAACTCTGAATTTTCGAAATTTGCATACGTTTGAAATTATTACAGAAATGAAGATACAGATTGAACCTTTACTTACCATTTATTCTTCATAATTGGTTCTTTCATTAAGGTCATGTACATTTTGTCCGTATGATTATGAGAGATTGTAAATATTCATAATTCTTTAGTAAGTGCTGAGGGCGGAATAAAAATATTCCGAAACGCCGGCAAGCTTATGGTTTAATTTTTTTACTTACCCGGATCCAATTTCTTGAACTACATTTCTTCATTTTACATCATAATCGTGAATTCTCCAATGGTTACTTAGTTTTGGTTTTGATGTTGCTTCAGTGATGTTCGAATTTTATCAGTTTTACCGAAGAATGGTCAGATCATAGTTGGATTTAACTTCTAATGTGTTTTGCATAACATCCTTAATTAAAAAGAAATCCAGAAAGTCAGGGAGCTTATTTAAGTCAATAGGGCAGTGCGAAGGTTTTCCTGTTGAAACCACACTTCAGTCTATTCGCTGAGGATTTTTTTCCTCTTTAGTGTTAGTGTGTTGAAACCCAATGCTGGTTTTTGGCATTGAAGTTACCACCTGCTCTGAAGCTACTTTTTAGCGATTTTAAATTTTAGCGACTTCGAATTTTTCCTCTCATATCGTATGCTTTGGTGGGCAGTAGGCAACCCTTATCGTCGCGTGACCGTGTGTATCTGAAATCATCACAGACAATCATCCCTTGAATTTGTTCAGTTCTGAATTAACTCAATTCGAAGTGCTTGATATTACTAGTGACGATTACTGCTGTTCCTCCGTGCGCTGAGCAGTACGCTGAGATGTCTTCGAAGAACAAATTTTGTTTGAAAAAAAAAAGTCTGTCTTCATTATTTCACTTATAGAAACATTGAAACATTGTAATATTTTCAAAAATTCAAAGATTTTAATAGCAATGAGATTATTAAGCGTCTGTTGCGCTATGCGAGGACAAAGTCGAATACAAATCTAAAAATGTTGAGCCATTTTAGAGAAAATTTTGATAATGTTGAGGCTTCATGTAAAGTACCCTCAAAAATCAAAATAACCGTTTCAAACACGCCAGGCATCGAGTTCGTTTAGATGGATCGTGGAAAATCAATTTTGGAGAAAACCGTCTGAACAATTTATTCGCTGGCCTCGCCCACAGGAATACAGACGAACGGTGGGAAAAGTTTCAAGAAAAAAAATTGACCAGTTTTTAAGAAAATAATGTGCGAAAACTACAAATACAGTATTTAAAAAAATACGTAATACTAATTTGAAGAACAAATTATTACTTCAATAATGTACTAGTTATACAAATGGGTACAGAACATTTCCAACTTTTGTAATTTTCGAAAATTTATTAACGAATTAAGAGTGAAAATCAAACTTGTCATTTTTGTATCACTCTATTATTACAATAAAATTTGAAGTAAAAATTTGGAGTCTTTTTAAGACAATTTTGAAATTATCTTTGGGTTCTCCCGAATTCTAACGAATTATTTTTAAAATTTCGGGGTAAATTTCGGAATAAAACAATTGCCGGTAGCTACACATTTATACGGTTACGAGCTGCGCTTCCTCATGTATGGCCACTTTAACGCGAACCGCGTTGGCGTCGGTCGATACGGCTGCCCCTAATACCTCCTTGAGGCGACCCATCGTGACTCGGAGACCACCCCGCCCCTCCCCGGCCACTTTCAGCCTAGCCCCACGTGCCGCACGTTCGGCCAAGTAGCCCGCCCCGTCCCGCCCTCCCCCGCCCCGCCCCGCCCCGCCCCCGCGGAGATCATCATCATCATCACCTCATTGACCGGTCATGCAGTGTCGACAGAGCGGATGTTGGCCATCTGGGACCCCACCGCGGGCGGCGAGGGCGGGGGCGTGGGCGGAGGCGGCGTGCCATCTGACGCGCGATCGCCCGGGGGAGGCGGGCCGGGGTAGGGGGAGTACCGCTGGCAAAAGACGCCCGCCGCCGCACAGTGAACCAAAAATGAGTCCAAAAGCGCACAAGTGTAATACTGACTGCTGTAACTTTTCATACTTGCCTTTTCCCGTTTCTACGAGGTCGGCGCTACGTATTCGGGGCGGACTCATTTCTATTAATTTTCCGCTTACTCCATTTTTACACTGATTTGAAGATGATTTTAATGCCGGATGCCCTTCCTGACGCCAACCACAGGACACACACAAGTACATTACACACAGACGCAATCATGAAACATACACAACCATGCCCGAGGTGGGATTCGAAAAACAGGATCCTTCCGTCCGAGATCGCCACGGCACTACTGCCTTAGCAATCTGGGACCCCTACCGGAATCGGGGTTGACTATTATAACTATCTAATATATTAACCGGCTGATGTATTTCAGCGTAAATATCAATACATCTGTAGCGGTGGAAGCTCCTGGTGCGAGTCCTGATGGTAGCGTATTTTCGATTAGCTTCATAGATGAATTGAATTTAACCATTCTGGCGGAGAATTTTAGCGGCCGGCTCCTCTCGTTGGTGATTTTCCATGGTTCTCCGATCAATATCAGACATATGCCAGAGCAGTACCTACACAATGCAATGGACAGCGTGAGATCTTTCCCTAATCATTCTTGTCCCTTCCTCTCTCCTTCGCGAGAGTACACTTACACTTATATGCACTTCACTAAGCACTACACAAGGCAGGAGATCGCACTGTAGTATGCATTTCTTATTGCGTTATGAAAGTTCAGGTGGCAAAGAATTGGACTACTGAGTGCAAATGCCGGTATTCGACTCATACGTGGGTTAGGGGTATTGCCCTTCTCCCTCTTCTTGAAGGTACTATTACAAAAGCACTTTAATTTATTTTTAAAATTCACATCTAATCGGATCTCACGTTTAAGTTCCAGAGCTATTATAATTACGTACTGCTCTTTTGTGGCGACGTGGCAAATTGCGCAAAAGACAAATTTAATTGTGTGGCTCACACTACCTAGACACACTGTTTAAAACTACCTTGAACTCACTGTATTAACATAACTATTTAAATGTTAAGTAGTTCACGCGTTACAAGTACAGGCAGGTGCAGGTAAATATCATAGTTGGGATTAGTGTTGCTGATATTTGGAACCGTAGTTATTGTAACAGTTGATTTATTATTATTATTATTATTATTATTATTATTATTATTATTATTATTATTATTATTATTTAACCGTGCTGTTGTAGCGCACGAGATATCAGTCTGCATCAAAATATTTTTCCCTTTTATTTTCTTTGACCTTTTAACACCGTCAAAAAAATAGTCGTTTTAAAAATTCTTTCGTTTCAGTTTCATTAGTCCAGTGACATGAGATCAGCGATAGCGAAATCCTATTTCGGCGCGACTACGGACATTGTTCAAACGCGTACATACTTCAACGGCAATAATAAGACCCCTAAAGCTCTATGCCTGCTCGGTCTGCATTAATGCTGCAAAATCCAATATCCATAAAATAGAGGTAATACAGAATAAATTACTACGAACAATAACCAATGCACCCTGGTTCTTCTCAAACAATAAACACCGTAAAAAATTCAATAAAACCTACCATTCCCCACATCACTAAGTTATTCCGCAATTTTTGTAACATAATTTCATCCATTTCAAAACTATCCCACTACAGTCTAGGTTGAACACAAAGAAACATCATCACAATAAAAAAATAGGTTTCCAAAACATGTTATTTTACATACAATTTGTAAATACAGATTATTCATTTTAAGGTTATCAGTGGATTTCCTCTCCCTAAAGAAAAAATAGTTGTAAAGAAGGAATAGTTCAATATTTTAAAATAAATAGTAAGCATAAAACACGTGAAACATTCTGCATTGTTAAATTGAACTATGTAACCGATACAGAATAATAAAGGTATGAAAAAAAATCTGGCGTTACATGTTTTGCTCAGAATGTGTCCATAAGCAAAAGAATGGCTACGAAATAAAGTAAATGAAATGAGTAAAGTAATGAGTGAGAGGTGCCGTTTTCGTTTATTTTTGAATCTATTACGATTTGTTAAAAAATTCACGAAAATGTATAAACTTTGAAATACTTCTCCACACAAAAAAATTGTTTCCTTTTTTAAGTAGACCATTCTTACTCGTAACAAGACTTCTTCGACTTATCTACCTTACCTTTATCGCTTTTGGATATGTCCGGACTCGCAGTTCGCCGCAACTAATAAAGTTTCAAAATAAGGTGCGACTATGTAAATTTAATGTTCTCCAACGTGAAAGCCCGCTATGGTATCTTCGAAGGGCGGGGACACCATAAAAATCAAAAAGCACTCCATAAATCATTGATTGACTGTTAGTGATTCCGGGCGCGTCTACTGATAAGGTCATTAGTTCTGTATGTGTAGTGCATGTTCTTTCCTCGGGAGGTAGCGGTGATCTTTCCCTGTTTGATGGCGAAATACGGTACCGACCTACCATCAGCTAGAGGGGTTTTCCCCAACCAGGTACCTACCATCAGCGGGTCACTGCCCCAGCCGGAACAAGCTCTAAGCTCCCGACTGACCTCCCAACATGCGTGGTAGTGTAGTGCACGATAGTGTAAGTGTGTGTAAGTAAAGGGTAAGAAAAGAACAAGGACTGCGTGCTGTCAGTGGCCCGTGTGTTAAGGTACTGCTTCGGCATTCGCCTGGTGTTGATAGGAGAAACCACGAAAAACTACCGATTAGAGCAGCTGGCCACTAGAATTCTCGTCCAGACAGCGACTAAATTCTACACTATATGACAAACTAGAATCAAAAATCCTGTTACCGTCGGGAATCGAACATAGGTCAGAGGCATTGCAGTGGTCAGGTGATGCCTTGAGCCACCTCTCTCGGTCATTTTCATAAATCAGGCAATTTAGAAACAGGAATTCATTACGAGTATTCGTCATTGAGGGCACTGACAACTGGCAGTGCGAGTGCCAAATTGGTTATTGGCATCAAGAAGCAAACAGGGGAAAATGAAAGATGAATAAACATAAATCGTTGTATTATATTTGATAAGAAACAAAGTTTTACTTTACAGCTGACACTTTAAACTAGTTTTACAAGATTTTTATACATTTTTGCCGATATAATGAAGTTGAATATCATCAGCTTGATATAATTTGTCCACCGCGTGTTAAGAACTCTCTTCCAATGCGCGGAAAGCCAGCAGTTGCGTTAACGTTTGAAGGCCTCCCTCCACCCAACTCTCAGCCCTTTGATCAGGCATCTCATACAATATTCTCGTAGCACCCCACGGCATTGACTAGTATTTCTGCCTTGAAGAACTGCAATTTACACAATGTCAGGTTTTCCTCTTTACTTCTTGAAGCACAGGTACTAGAATGCTAACTTTGGGTTTGCTACCAACGTGCCACCAATTCACCCAACGAGATTCGTCAGAGATATCTCAAATAGGGCTTACAATGGATAAACTCGACTAATAATAAATTTTTAGTTTTGTAAAATATAACATACAATGTCCCTTGAATAATTAACAAATGTGGATGCAGCTTTCATATTTCAAAATAACCTTTATTATAAGAAATTACATTCCGTCACAAATGCCTATTAAGTTAGAAATAATTAATTGACCTTTTATTTCCAAAAGTTTGAGATAAAATCAACATAAGCCTAGATGGGAAAAGTCTAATTACAGGGACAATAAACAGTTCGTAAAATGCTCCTTGAGAGGTGACTGTGCAAGAGAAACGATATTTTCTTACAAGTGGTCAACGGAGACCATTCTGCGCAAGTCAGTTGATTATTTAGTAGTGTCGTAGCTCTATGAGTATATTATTAATGGTATTACATTGTCTTCGTTAGTATCCTTTATGACAAGATATTATTACGATTGGGGGACGGATTTTATTGAGATGTTTTGTCATAACATAAAATGAATAGAAATTCATTTTATGTTATGACAAAATGAAATGACCCATTTTTATACGTCATTTTTTTGCATTTTTCGTTCTTTTCGGCTAATAAGTCATTTTTTCCTCTTCCTGTCATTTTAATGCATTTTTTCGCTGATTTAATCTATTGTAATATCTTTTTAATGGCACTTGCTTCATATAACATTTACGAGATGAAATAAATGTTCTCCACAGAATTTTTGAGTACCTATACCTGGTAGCTTATTCGATTTCTTCGCTCAGAAATTCTAATGTCCGCCGTTGGGAGTATATAATCTAAGGTGCCTGTGATGCGCCATTGTCAAATTCAGCCGAATTTGGGATAACTAAAGACTGAGATGTTCTGGTAAAAAAACAGTCCAAGCCCAAAGTTTGAAGGCTGAGTTCACTTGAACAAATAGAAGCAGCGTCGATTACATCAGTAACATATCCAACTGCTTGAGTTGTTCATTTTAATAACATTTTTTACGTAATTTTTCTTTGCTTTTCTTTGCTTTTCTTTGCTTTGCTTTTAAAAACATTTTAAGAGCATTTTATTGAACATTTTTTGGCGATGGTAATCAAAATTCGCCCTCTAATAATGACCTTTCCTACCCCTGAAGAAAGCGTTAATGAATTGGATATAATAATAATAACAATAATAATAGTAATAATAGGAATGATAGCAATAATAGTAATAATAGTAATAATAATAATAATGATAATGATAATAATAATAATAATAATAATAATAATAATAATAATAAGTGTATGATCCACTCCGAACACACATCCTCGTACGTAATCAGCACGCAAAGGCGCGCGCTTTTTCGCCCTTCGGCTGCTGTTCGCCCCATTGTAGACGGCGCGGCGGTGGGCAGTGGCGGCCATTAACACCTCGTGACATCCGTCGGCGGCGGCGGCGGTTCGCGAATCGGACGCGGGCAGGGGTCAAGAGGCGGCGGCGGCGGCGACCGCCATAGAGCGTCGCGGCCTCCTGTGCCGCGCCTCGCCTCTCCACAGCCTCCTTGGAAGCCTTCGCCATGATGACCGCCTGCGCCCCGCTGCTGGCGATCCTCGCCCTGGCCGCAGGTGAGTGGGATTGGCATAGGCGTCGTCGGGTTAACGCAAAGTACATACTTAGTTCCCGGTGAATAGGGTTCCTCAGTAATATTTTAAAGAAACATGGTAGTTGGTAACAAATATGTGGAAGATTTTTTTAGCTATTTTATTATTCATTCATTTTTTTAAAGTAATATATAATTAATTCCTAAAATAAAATTTTACATTATTACTCTCACATACTAGTTACGTAGTGTAGAGAAATGTATGAGTGAAAAACGGCTTTCGACTCAAATTGTGTTGTAGATCCCGGGTGTCAAAAACTGGATAATTCATGTTTCTGTATGTACTATATTACTTCTAACGCGTTATATAGTCAAAAACCATCTTTATAGGTCCTCGATGTTGAAACATTTGTAGACGGTAGGACGTCTGTCCTGTCCATTTGTGAACAAATCTAGCAGTTAATCCATTGGTCGCAGTTTTACCAAAATTATCATTCACGGATCGTTCTGGGTGATATTACGGTCCCTTCAATTTGAAACGTATACTTTGTTTTTTGGGCTAATTTACATGAATCTTGAATGACATTTTCAAGAAGATGGCTCCAAATGATTTTTTCTCAGACAGAGGGAAGAATATAAATTCGAGGGATTGATTTTCGTTGATTTCTCCAAATTCTTGAAATTTTCAAACTTTGTGTTTTTTGACATCTTTCCATAACTACGATAAAGATAGATATCTTTCTTCTTAATAAAATATATCCTTCAAAATTAGAAACATACATAGAAACACCTATATTTTTTCAAAATATGACATTTTAAAAAACAAGACTTTTCTCGAAAACGGGTCTAATTTTTTTAATGAATGGTAATGAGCCTGTTATCGCTTTCTCTTGTTAACTGAATTTATAGTATAAACATTCGAATTCTGGTCGGACCAATTCGAACCAATTCGTTGAACAAATTTACTTATAAACATTATATTTTAATTGTATCTTAAAATTAATTGAATGTACGCTAATCTTCCGCATTTGTTTTGTTTTGTTTTGAAGACCATGTACGTGTAGTTAGTCTTGCCTTTTTTTGCGAGTTTCAATCGCACAACATTGAATTATCGATATTTCATCGTCTGGTGCGAGGTTGCATGTGAGTGTGAGGTTGTAGTGATCGATACGAAGAAAGCGAATGTTTTAAACGCAAAATTAATGAGTGTGAATAAACGAAATGTTCAAAAATCGTGTGAGACGTGTCTCTTCAGAAAAAAAGTTATTATAATTATATGTAGTGTATTGTGTTTTGGAGTTAAGGTGGATAGTTGGATGTTTTGCCATTGTGTCTACAATGTCCACTACAATGTACAGACATACATCTTTGTAAAAATAAAATATTTCAACCGCATTTTCAGAAACGTATTTCATTCTGCATTCACCGTGAATAACAATTGAATTGTTCTAAAATTTACAAACTTTCTCATTTGGTGAGTATTGGATAATAAGTATTGAACGATATCCTTAGATTGAGCTATCTGCGACCGTCCGTCACTCCCGGCCACAAATCGGCACAAAAAAGTTTTTCATTCACGCATCTATATCTCCTGATGGGGATTATATTTTTTTTCGAATTCTTCCAGAATATGATAAGAACTTTTTTTTTCTAAAATGGTGTTTTTGCGTTTTTTAGCGCTGCGATCTAGCGGTAACCGCGCGAATCTCCGCCACATGAACCAGTCATGACATCCAAATGTGACGTCAGTGAAGCCAATGACACTTTTTCGATAACTGACAGAGGTTACTAGGAATGGTACCGTCTGGAAGTCGTAGTTTGTAGTAAGCAGTGCACGATTAGGTCACTGGGAACGAAATTATCTTTCGATAAGATAATTGTTTGTGTAGCATGTATGATAGTGGTAATAGTATAATCGCATTTAGAAGGATATTTTAAATATAATATTATTGTATAATATAAATATATTTGAATGTGACCGTATTTTTTAGAATAGGAGCTTGTAAATGTAGTTTCTTTAATAAGCCGTCTTATTTAGAAAGTCGATGAAAGAATATAATCTTCTGGGACCATTCGGATTATGTTCAACTCCGTATTTTGGGGTGGCCGCAGCCCCAAAAGAACATCCGTTAGGAAATTTGCGACTCACCTTTTTTGTTTGTTTTAAAATTATTTAAGTTTAATTCTTAAAAAATATTTTTTCTTACTACATCCGAGGATGAAAGAAACAGACAACAGTATGCTTAAAGTTTTGTTTTCTTTAGAAAATAGATAGTAGATGTTTTTATTGTGAAAATGTTTTAAAAATAGTTTAAAGCGTCGGTGGGTTTAAAGCGGGATTCAATGCTGGGGGTCTGTTTTCCATATTGTCCTTTTCCACGTGCGTCTGTTGCAGGCGTGGCGTGGGCGGCGCCGCGCGCGTCCACGGCCGAGTACCTGCTGCTTCCGGGCCACGGCCGCTACAAGATCAACGCCAACTACAAGACGTGGGAGGCGGCCAAGCGCACGTGCGAGGCCGAAGACGCGCATCTGGCCGTGCTCGACTCGGAGGAGGAGATGGACGCCGTCATCAACATGCTGGTGCGCTGCGGCATCGAGTACACGCGCTTCGACTTCTGGACGGGCTACTACCGCCAGGACGAGACCGGGCAGTGGACCACCGTCATAGGTAGCAAGCATGCGCTCCGGCCCCAAGCCCTGCTCTCTTGCAGAGGGAGTCATGTTCCCCGGCGTGCTAACTACTATGGTCATTAGGGCTACTACCGCCAGGACGAGACCGGGCAGTACAGCACCGTCATAAGTAGCAAGCATGCGCTCGGTTCCCTCGCCCTACACTCTTGCAGAGGGATTGTTTCCCGGCTTTTCAACTGCTATGGTAATTAGTCCCGTAAGTGCAGTGCATGATTTTATCGCGGGAGGTAACGGAGTTCCTCTCCCGCTGGATGGTGAGATCTGTCATCAAACTAATCGTCGTATTGTGGACGATTTCTACCCTGCGGGTATCTTCCCTCAGCAGAACACCGCTCGGGCAGAGTAAAGCTCTATGCTGCCGACTAGTCTCCGTCTCGTGTAATACTGTGCTGCACGTAAGTATAAATGTGTAAGAGGTGAGGATAGAAGAAGGGAAAATATCGCGCGGTCCTTGGCGTGTTTGTTAGTGAGTTGGTTCTGCTTGGGCAGTCGTCTGGTTGAGACAGAAAAATACACCCATCAGAGTAGCCGTCTTCTAGAATTCTCCTTCAGATAACGACCGAATTCGACCTACCTATCTCAGCTGGTGTCATATAAATCCTGTCACAATCGGAACTAGAAACCTAGCACCTACGGGTCAGAGATACTGCGACAGTGACATCAGTTTATATCGGGACACCGCAGCCGATCTTTTTACTCGAAAGACTCATAAGCCTAGCGCAGTATGTTGTGCTACTCGCGTATTACATTCCAAGATTTGAGGTCTCGAACACAACGAGCAAAAATTACAACACTTCCATCGTCTTTGAGCTCGTTATCTGGGTGGGAAAATCTCTTGGGGAAATACGCGACAACCATTTGGTAACATTTGTTTTTCTCCTCTCTCAGCCAAATACAGTTGTAGTAATAACGTTTCAGGGAACTCGGACATAATGTTCTCACGAGACTCTCCCTAAAATGTGCGCTGAAATATTTGTGCGTCCGCTTTATGTTTTTTTATCATTACAATTACAATTTGTTTTTCTATAGTACTTCTTTTTCAACGGACAGCACATAGAAATTAGGTGAATATTTTTTTAAAATTATTTATTCCTTCTAATGGTTTATTCTTTCAATATTTTGTCATCGCCTTGTCTCTTCATGCGTACTTTGCGTGTGTCGAAAATATCCACTAATTCTAGTATTATGAGTTGCGCAATTTTATTCCTTCTTATTGACGCAGACATCCGCAGCCGGAGTCACTTGACCGAGGGATGCCTCGCCCTAGACAGTGCAGCCAACATTTCGGCTATCAAACTAAGACCTTCCTCAGTGCATATGTCCCTTTTATCTTTGAATTATTCTCCCTTTCCAGCATTTTCTGTGTATCATGGACTGCTAATTGGAGAAGGAGACAAGCAAGAATCGAGTGCGCTATTTGCGTTCTTTTTCTTGAACTCCTGAATTGACCCTCCTTACATATTGCAACGAAGGGAGAGCAGGGGGAGACTCACATCAGAGAGGCGCTGCCAATTGTTACAATACTAATACAACTACTCGCATGCTTTTCGCTTTCATTTAATAGTAGTATGAGAGACGATATAATAGAACGTATATTGAAATAATTAGATAAAATCTTAGGTGGAAATGATCAGTGAATGACAAAACTAGTTAATAATTAATGAGGCATGGGCTTTAAGTACTTAATACTATTTTGTAGCCTGCTTGCAATTAATATTGCGAATAAAATTTACAAAATCGAAAATACAAATTGTAAAACCAGAAGAAGCAAAAAATTCGTATAAATAAGCAAATAAAACCTCCGGCGCAGCAGTAAGGAAAAACAAAAACGTCAGAACTGAATTCATTCAAACTCAGATGAAACATCCTCAGCAATTTTATCATATCCTTCCAAGTGAGACCAAGACTTTTGAACAGACAACGCTGAGTAGTTCTGGTCAGTTTTTTTTTTGTTGTTATTTAAGGTCGCATCAACTTCTAGGTCATTAGCGACCACTTTTGCAAGTAACGGTATGATAACTATGAGGACGACACGATATGATAAAGATAAGGGGTGAAAGGACGAACACATTACAACCATGCCCGAGGCGGGACTCGAACCCGCGATCCTTCGGTGGGAGAGCGGTACGGCACTATTGCCTTAGCGATCTCGACCATCCGGACCGGCAGGTTCGCACGTAATGGAATACGGGAGACAGCACGTAAACGTGTTACCTATAACAAACATTACGCTACAACACCCTTCACCTTTGTGCGTAACTTGGGAATGATTTGATTTAGGCCCTGAAAACAGGTTTTAATGACCCGGAACACGAGATATTTATCGTATGTCATAATCTACCCAGAAATATCTTTTTTATCTGTTGTGTTATATTTATGGACGATACATCTACTTCTCAGCACAATTTTCAGAAACGTTTGAGGTTGTATTCCCTCATCAAGTTGCAAATTTTTACTTTTAAAACAACGTGATACCTCAGGTGCGGAAACTGCACACGGGTTCGTCTGGTAGAAATCATTTGTGCCGGCAGAAGAGCTACAGATTTGATTTGATGATTCGGCCGATGAAATAACATATCCCCCATTCACTCTTCCCTGACATCTGAAATGAGAGCTAAGGAAAACATAGTGGATATTACCGGTCTTTTTTGCATGGCTGCATTGAATTAAAATACGATTTACAACACTGTCGTGTTGTAATGCATTACAACATTGCCGTGTTGTAATGCATTTCATGACAGTACTGTAATTCCTTAATACAAAATTCAGTATAAAACTTTATCACTGATGTTTACTGATGTAATGACATTCTAAAGACTTTGTTTACTGATGTAATAACATTCTAAAGACTTCGTTAATCGTCTGAAATGCAACGTAAAAAGTTGTTAAAAAACAATACTGTCGTGTTGTAAAGCATTACATGTCACTATTGTAATTTTTTAATACTTAAATACAATTCAAAACTTAGTCACTGACGTTTACTGGTATTTTAAAGACATTTATTTTGTTAATCTGAAATACAATGTATGAGGGTGTTCAGAAGCAACACTGTTGTGTTGTAATGCATTACAACACGTCACTATTTTAATTCCTTAATACAAAAATGCAATTCAAAACTTGATAAATTACTTTTACTAACTTTTAAAGAAATTTATATTGTTAATTTGAAATACAACGTAATAAGTTGTTGAAAATACATTTACAACAGTCGTGTTGTAATGCATTACAACGTGACAGTATTGCATTTCTTTAATACAAAAATACAATTCAAAACTTGATAACTAACGTTTACTGACATTTCAAAGACATTTATTTTGTTAATCTGAAATGTAAACGCATGAAGTTGTTCAGAAGCAACACTGTTGTGTTGTAATGCATTACAACAAGTCGCTATTTTGATTCCTTAGTACCAAACTTGCTGACCGCTGTTTGTCGATAGCCGAAAGGCGTGTTTGTTTTGTTTGTGCGTGCGCGGGCGTTGCCGGCCTCTTTGCACGACTGCGCTGCGTCCGTTGCAGGGTGGCCGGTGGGCGGCACGGGCACGGGCTACACCGGCTGGATGTCGGGCTACCCGAACGGCGTGCGCGACGCGGCCTGCTCGCGCTTGCTGCTCACCATCAACGCGCGCGGCCTCATCAACGGCGACTGCACCAACGTCGGGCCCTTCATCTGCGAGAAGCACCAGTAGCACCAGTAGCACACGCACACGCACACTGCGCTTCTGTAACCAAACTCGTCCCTTCGTTGTATCGCAATTAGCTGCTCCGTCTACTAGTGCGAGGAGTTTCTGTGTAACCAAAATGCGCGGACATTTTTGTCCGGAAAATAGGGGTTTACCAACGTTGTCTTCTCATCGTATTCTACATGATAATTAAACAGATTTATAATCACGTTCCTTTTGAAAACATTTACTATATCGGACAATAGTTTGAGTATAAATAGAGACCACCAGAAACATTAGAAGAAATTATTTGAATGTTTCCAAAACTGTCCGGGTAGTTCACACATTTGGGTTTATTGAAAATATAATTAACAATTTATATTTTCAATAGACAGCTTCTGTATCCGCGTTTGGAGAACGTTATTTGTCAACATTCTCGATTTTCTGAAAGGTTTCTGATTAACTGCTACCTGTCTATTATAGAAAACATGTTTTACACAGTAATTAACTTTTATGATTTTCGTAATATTTCATGCTCTCGTTACTTTTTGGAAAGAGAAATATTAAATTTAGCTCAAATCATCACCTCGTTAATCCACCTTTTTGTTGCTTCATTTGATTACTGCTATTTCGATAGAATTGTACCTATTCCGAAATGATTTTAAAAGATCTGAGCGTAGCTGATATTAGCTCACAAAGCGCTGAAAATTATTTAGTGCAATGAAGGCAATGAAGTCAACATTTCATCAGCAAAAAATCAGAATAATAAGCGGCCTGATTATTAATAGGCCAAAGTACTGGATGTGGGTTACGTAGAATCTAGAGTATTCCAACAATACCTAAGAAAGCATTTTTTTCATTATTTAGAAGAGCAGCTTGTATTTCCAGTACTTGTGCTGAAATTCTGGGATACTTTTTAAAATCTGAGAATCGAGACCAGGACAAAACGTTATTCTATTACCAAAACCGTATTTAATTCGTAAAAGAAATGGATATTGAAATAATATTTGTAAATAAAATCAAAATAAATAATTATATTAATTGTATTGGTTACAGAAAAAACTTCCTTATCTCTCCTGTCAATATTTCTTACATTTTCCAAAACAAAGCTTGTCTACGTTACTGGCTCTTAACAAATTACTCATGAGAATCCCAACTTCCATAGGGTTCACTACACTAATTTAATACACTCGAATTACAGACACTTATCATCTTATATAAATAGAAAAATGCAATCACAATATAAACGCCGAATGTCGAAGTCAGAAACCAAAATCGCATAGGCTTTATAAACAGTCGTTTTGTAGTTCCTACTGGCGTTAACCTTTCTGTACTTTTAACAAACCTAGATTTGAACACTATTCACTGTTTGTAAAAGATTTATTTTTTGTAAATGGTTTTATTATCATAATTTGCCTTCCCTTTTAAGTACGGTCATCCCTGATCCAATGTTTTTTTATCATGTGATTATTTTCCTGATCACCTGAAATACATAATAATAAATTCAGATAATAATTTTAGATATTTTATAAATAAATATTACTTTTTAAATATATTTTTGTGGGAGTCAACTACACATTGAAATTGGATATTTATAAATATTTATAAAATATTTTTTGTGAACAATGTTTGCAAAAGCACTATAAATTTGATGATTTTCTTAAAACATTATTTTCACTAAATAATTGATGTATATTAAAATGATTATTATAAATATTTATAAAATAACTATTTTCTTTAAAATGTTGACAACAGCAATAATTAATCTGTAGTATATTAAGTCATCCTGCAATATTGTATTTACTAACATTTTAACGTAAAAATATGTTAAACATTGTGTTTTAAAGCAAGATGAACTTCTTGTTTCATTTGATATCATAAATAGTAGAAATTGCTATGAAATTTTTAATGTCCACTTCAAAATTGAAAGTGACTGCTTTAATTGTTAATTTCTCGTTCCTCAATTAAAAAAATCCTTTTGAAAATAAATCCCATTTTCTTCAATTTAGTCCTTAGTGACCTGAATGAGCAGACAAAGGGAATATTCCATTTGCATTAAACTAATATGCAATAATATACGAGTACACTAATATGGAAAGAAAAAGGAGATATTGGGTTTACACGCGGTAATCTCTGAAAATAATCAGACAAATATTGGTGAAACTGCTGTTAGCTTCACTTCATGGTCTTGGCGTAAATATTAATATAGTTACATTAGTTATTTATGCACCAAGGGGGTTTTAAGGGTTCTAATGATCGAGCGGCGACAAAATGCCCGAGGACTGTTAGTCGCCCGAAATCTTTAGACAATCAGTAACGTCCGTAGTACATACATAATTTTATTTTATATAGTTTTATTGATTCAGATTTACTAAGTAACTATATGTTAACTTGACACGTTTCTTTTTTCATATTTCTCTCCCATAATTCCCTCCATAAGCGAACATGTAGCGTCATTCCACTGTTTTCATATTTCTCTCGTAACCACGATTCTTTCGATCCAGGTAAGTTATGTAGTATATATCGAGCTTCGTAGCGAAAACAATAACAAGGTTTTTATAACGTAACTAAAAAACAAAATAATTTATTTCGTTTTATGCCAACCGATGCATTAGCACACGAATTTATTAATGGGAGTAATTGACCATCGCTAATGATGCCAAGTCTCCTGGTGTCAATGTACGACTTGAATGAAGTCGTAGGCTTCCGCGACCAGAGTCATGTGGGTGATCTGGGCTGTCCGGGTGACGCCGCGTCGAAGGCTGAGTTGCCGACGTTTCGACCATCCTGTCGTGGTCTTCCTCAGGGCTGGTATGCGCCGTGATGGTCAGCGCTCGTGTTTATATTCAAGTCTAGGCCGTGTGCTATTGGCTGAAGCAGCGGCCAATCGGAGGCCGCCAGTTAGCAGCGCGGGGGGGGGGGGTCAAATCGGGTGGCGCGTGATCGGACGGCGTGGCGCGTGATCGGACGACGCGGAAAGGTCCGTCAGTGTCAGCGTTGAGTTCATCGAGTGGTAGCGCACGGTGTACAGAAGCCTCCTGGTTCATCGTATCAACTCCTTGATGACATTTCTCAGCCTTTTCAACAGGCTGTGGTAATCCTACTGTTCGTTGTGAGCGCGAATTTTTAATAGAAGGAATTCTCACTTGAATTGAACGCGCTTACATTTCAACAGTAATATAATTTTTAAAATTTATTATTACTACATCAAATTGAAAGAATTGAAAGTTGCTCAAGAGGTGTGAACAGATGACAAAGCAATGCACAGCGTGGTGTAACGGTCGGGGCCGAGCGAGGCGGGCAAAGGCGAGGACTGGCGAGGCGGGGCGGCGTAGAGGAGAGAAAGGACACAGCGTAGGAAAGCGGAAAGAGTCGGAGCCGGGCGGGGAGCTGAGGAGGGGAATGTGATTAAAATTACTTCAGTTTTACGCTATAGGATACCACACAATATCCATTCCTTTTCTGATAGATAATTGTGAAAATAATTGGCAACGCCAGTTATTTCAAGTTGTTGTTGTAATTATTACTATTACTATTACTAATTACTATTACTATTACTATTACTATTACTATTACTATTACTATTACTATTACTATTACTATTACTATTATTATTATTGTTATTATTATTATATATACGGAACCCAGATATAAATAACACCCCATATTCAAATAAGCTTGTCAGTCAGGAACGATACATACTCATCAGTTGAAAATTCATAGCAGAACAACTTACTGACATTCAAGGAACATGTGGAATATGTTCTTCGATCGAACTACCCACATGAACATGTTGAACTTGAAGACGATGGTCTCGTTGAAGGTTCATCTCTTACCATCCGTCAGTGGTGAAAAATCATCTGGGCATGAATCACACGATAAGGACATGATGTAAAATTTCCTTCAAGGCAAGATAGAAAGAGTTCGTTAACTCCTATTCGAATCTCATGCATTGTTGTGGAGAATGCTAAAGCTAAGAGAGTGAAAGAGACAGCGAACTCTGCCTTAAATGAGGTGGACTCTGATACTGAATATTAACAACGGCATGACGCAGTGACCTAGATTTTACACCAAACGTTGGCTGAGAATAATGTCAACTTCTCACTGAATATAAAGTGTCATATTTTAAGTACCAACTTGTAGGTGTGCAGGAAACCGGAGAGTGGCAGTTATGTTGGGGCTATTTTAATAGATTAGACTAATGAACAACAGATGAATGATGATCTGATGAATGTCGCGTTGATTGATATTTCTATCCCAAATACTAGGCAACTTGCAAAGTAAATACATCTAGAAACAAGTACTCAGAACACATTAAACTCTTTAAAGTATAATTTGTTTATAAAGTTGATGAATATGACATTATTCTCTCAAACACCCGTGCCATCTCTGGAAATCTGATGTGAGGCCTCAAATATGTGGGTGTCGAAGTGGATGTACAGAAACTTACGCAGAAGGTAGTGATAATAACAACGATAACAATAGTGCGAAAATTTCTTGAAAATGATTAAATTGGGTTAACATGGCTAATCGGTTGTGGTTGATTTTGTTAATGTGTACAATTAATAATATAATGTACCAAAAATTAGAAAAATAAAGATAATAACAATATGATTCATTGTAAAACCTTAATAACAACATTAATAATAATGCTAATACTAATACTAATAATAACAATAATAATAATAATAATAATAATAATAATAATAATAATAATAATAATAATAATGCCAATCCGATGGTCGAGATTGCGCCTCGGACGGGGTCGTGTTGTGTGCGTCTCTGTATATTTGTACGTTTCTATTTCATCATTCATCATCATCATAATGTCATTCCATTCCCCAGGGCTAACAACCGTGGGTATAAAAATGGTTCCTACTGTAGAAAAAAGTAATGTACACGTAACTCGATTATCAAATCTGAGCCCCGATGGGATGCACGTATCGCGTGGCCCAATGATGCCCAATTCACGAACCAATAGCAACAACATATTTTTTTCTTAATTTATTTGTCTTATTAATTTATTTATTCAATTATTACAGGATGTACAATAAGCCGTTACTTTAATACACACGAATGCGCAAGCTTTTATTTGCAGCCAATGACAACTCACACAAACTGGCAATTCCATGTTATAAACTTTCCTGACTCATAGTTCCGATATAAAACCACGAAGGAGTTTCCTTCATTTTATTGCTTCAATTATAACCCCTATACATTAAACGAGCAGCTTGCAATAATTTGCCTACCATTTTTACAAGTTTAAATTTAGCGGTTTCTGAGAGCCAATCGTTGATTACCTGGAAGTAGTCGAGACCATTCAGAGCTCGAGAGCGTTGAAATAGATCGATTATTGCCGCACTCCTCGATAGCAATTTGTGGCGCTGTCGGGAATCTGACACTTATTCAAGGTTAGAAAGGCGAGGTGCAGTATGTGCGTAATATGCTATTTGTAGTTCTTTAAGGATCTCTTTCTGATTTGACGGTGTTTTCTGGTAGTTGATTGAAAATGAGCAAGACTTCCCGACCTAAATCAAGATTGAGAAAGGTAACTCCAGTTTTCCATTTGCAAACTAAAGAATCGGATTGCAGAGAGTTAACAGCCCATTTAATAAAATCAGCTCGGAAAAGCGGGCATTTAAGTCTCTCTGGTAAAGGCTTGTCTTCAGGTAAGGATCAACGTGTTTTTCGATTATTGTCGTGTTACATTTTAACAACATATTAATTGTTACCATGCTCTGTAATGTACTAAGTATTGCTCGCACCTGAAAGTAATTATACTACCACTAATTTATTAACAGTGCCAGATAAAGTGTGGACACTGGACAGTCTTGATGAGGCAGAAATTCGTCTGCTTGAAGTTAAATTAGATTCAAATGGTGATGGTGATAATTGGTGGCAGAATGTTCCATTGACAAACCTTGATTTAAGTTCAAATATTTTGTTGTCTTTACCAACTGATATTAAGAATTTGTATGCATTAACATCTCTAAACGTAAGTGTAACAAATCATTTTTACCTGTTAGCTCCCTTTCTGTTTTTACGTATTTGGAACAGTTGCATCTTCAAGACCACCCTCCTTAATGAACAAATATTTTTTTGTGATATTTCCCAAACAGTAGTCAGAGATAAATATTAAAATATTATGCATGTTTCATATTTTTTAATCTATTAATGTATTGTGTCAAGAATTTAAATGTGCATTCTTTTCTTATAATACACCCATGAAAAATTATGGGAGACACATTTATTATAACTTCTAACTTATGTCTAGTTACAAGATAATGGATTAACAGAATTACCAGAAGAAATTGGACTTTTGACAAATTTGACTTACCTTAATGTAAACAATAACAAGTTGATTGGTTTCCCTGAATCTATGTGGCGCCTTACAGAACTTAGACATTTTCTTGCAAGTCACAATTTCATTAATGAAATTAGTGATGATATTGCTGATTTGGTTATGCTTCAGGAATTAGTAAGTACATTTTTTAAATGCATTAGCTTCTTTGTAGAGAACTAAAATAATTGTAGAATCGTTTTATTTCTCTAGACAGAAGTTAAATCGTCATTTGAAGCCAGTTATGTGTAATAAATAGTGCATTTGTTGAACTATTTATCACAATAAATAGTAAATTTGTTGTAGATTACTTTAGACTTTAGATTAAAATAGACTCATTTTAGCATATTACATCAATGAAACATGTTTCTAATTATTTGTGAAGGAAAGGTAAGTTCATTAGTTGCACATTTGTTTTCAGGATGTGTCTCACAATAAGTTGAAATTATTACACCCTGGCCTGGGATTTTTAATCAGATTGACTAGTGTTAATTTATCATACAATGAGTTGTGTGAAATGCCACCTGATTTAGTTAATTTGCGAGGTAAGTAATTCTGAATTCTCAATTAAAGTTGTCAATCTACTATAATCATTATTATTGTACATTTCAGAGTACACTCAGTATTAATTTTCTTGTGTAATTTACTATCCTGCACTTACCTTGAGCTGTAACTTGGATGCTTTTAATTCATTTGTAAATTTTGTTTCAATTTATTGTAATGTAATGCAAGCGTGGATCAATTGGGGGGAGGGGGAGATTGATTCCCCCCTAAAGTTTTACAGTAACTATTAATTTTAATTTGTCATAAAACTTTCAAGCAAAAATATTTTCGGATAATCATTCATATCACAGAATTAACTGAGTGTAGCCCGCAACATTTTACAAAATCTGTATTATGACACACTCGCAAAACATTTTGAATTTCCCCTCCCAAAATTTGTCTCTGAATCCGTCCCTTTGTAATGTCTACACAATTTTTTTCAGTTTAGCAAAATTTGAACTTACACTTTTCAACATGCATTTAGATACCAATTACATTTCAACAGATTTTGATACAGTATAATAAATGTGAATTCTCCGAACATTTTTTAGAAGAGGGACATACGTGAGTGCACTTTGCACTTTCACTGAGTTATCCTTACAAAATGAGATTTAAATGAGCAAGATTTTTGTGCATAGTAGAAATGTTTTGAAAATCAATTTGAAATAGACTTGGAATAAATATAATAAAAGTTTAGATTACTACATTCTTTTTGGAAGCATGTCTTTCATTTCAATGTTTAAAGATATATCATGCTAATTTGCTCTGCTGATTGTTGCTAAATGATTTTTGAAGATTAAAAATATTTTATTTGCTTTGGATATTTATGAATTGAGCAAAGAATTTCATGAGTTTCAGAATAATCTTGTGATATCCATTTTCAATAAAGCTTTAAAATATTTGTTGATTATGAAAATTGGAAAAGAAAGTTGTAATGTGATTTGGAACCATTGCCCATTGGGATTTTGCCACTAAAAGATTAATTTTGAATGCTTTTTTATTAGCTGTACAAAATATATTCAGAAAATCTTCACATAATAAATTCCTCGGTCCCTGTTCTTGAAACTGTTCATAAAATATTCTTACCCTTTTCTTTTCACTGTTTTTTTCTCTTCATATATTTTCCTTTATGATTTCAAGATATATTTGTCATTTTTAATCATTATAATTGTAAAAAATGCTCATTAGCTTTAATTACTTCAGATGAGACTGACAAATCGTATGAATGATAAATTGAGATGCATCTTCCATTCTGAACTCATTATTTAGAGGTCCAAAGTTTCTGAAAATAATATGCCTGCCTTTTTATGTTCTTACCCAGAATGCAATTAAGAATGAATTCAAAATATTTGGTATAACTGGGTGACTCTGGTCCTCCAGAGTCTGCTGTCTCTCTTTGTAGCAGTGAACACTAAAATGTAAAGTCATAGTAGTTGGTAAACTAATTTTAAGTAGTTTTGTTATTGTTGTTTAATTATTTTCTTTCACTCTGCTTTTTGTGGTGAACTGGTAGAAATATTACAAATGCCTGTAAACAGTGTGCTACCACCAAGGAGAAATAAATGTAGATTATAAACTCTATTAAATATATAATATATCAAACTAAGTTGTAATTATTTACTTCTATACTTGTATACATATTAATATAACATGAAATTTAAATATTTAAATTAATAATTGAAATTTTTTCACTTCTTTCATATTTTTAATTAACAGTGGCATATTGGTAGTGATAGTTAATTTCAATTAGTAAGAAAAGTGTTTTGATTATAAATGGTTATACAGTAGAACTAAGAGAAAATTTCTCTTTGTACATGTCTAATTCATATGCAAGACTGTTTATGCCTGTTGCTTTGTATTCAGTAAAGTAAAATAGCTTTTGTGTGTGTATGTGTACAGACACACTTACAGCTTGTGTTATAAATCCTGAATATTTTGAAGTGTATGCAGCAAGATACAATTAATAGTTATATTATAATTATCCTGTGTCATAAAGTGGTAGCTACTGTCCAGGTGCTTTGTAACACTGCCCTTGTACATTTGTTTCTATGCTGTATTAGATCTATTGTATTTCTTGAAATATAGTTCTTTTGGAGCTCAACTTAAGTCACAATCAGCTAACAGCTCTTCCTCCTATGGGAGAATTACGTCGCATGGAGCTATTGTACATAGATCATAACCTAATAACTGCATTTCCTGATTTTACTGGCTGTGAGGCATTGAAAGAAATACATATGAGTGGTAATGCTGTAAAGGTGTGTGTATGAATAGTGTGTGAATATCAATTTGTACATTCTTACATCCACTGAATTCTTCCTTCCATTTACTGTAAACTTTTATCCTTGGTGCAGGAAATACAAGCAGAACATATAAGTGGACTAAGTCAGTTGAGAGTTTTAACCCTTCGAGACAATAAATTAACAGAATTACCTAAGGAGTTAGTATCCCTGCAGCACCTTGTGCATTTAGATTTAACTAATAATTGCTTGGCAGAGTACGTATTATTTGATGTTTTTATAATGGCTATTTTTATTTGTTGTGAAGATTTTATTGAAAATAATGTTAAAAGAACTTTTCGTTATAAACATGTTCTGATTAACAATGTATAATATTACAAATCATTTTGACTTCAAATAGTTCATGCAATGTTTTTAATTGTACTATGTACATGATCATTTTTATGTGCATCTTTTGATGAATTGAAATATTTAGCTTTTATATTTTCTTTCAAATTGTTATAAAAGTTAGTTTCAATTCACTGTACACAGTGTGCCAAACTGTTTGGCAATGCTTCCACATCTTCAAACACTTCATCTGCAAGGAAATCCTCTTCAGTCCATAAGGCAAGATCTAGTGAGGTGTGGAACTGTTCGTTTACTGAAACATTTGAGACAGTGTTTGGATTCAGAATTAGAACTGACCATTCCTAATTGTGAAGGAAATGGTTCAGGAAATTTTCCTGACAAGTATGTATGACTCCTCTCAACTAGTAGTTAGTTTTTTGACTCTTTGTTGTATCACTTGTTTTAAAATATAAAGGGGGCCAAATTAATGAAATTTAGTTCCTTGTTTGTGTGTTTTTCTTCCTCTTTTCTTTCTTTTCCCAAATTACTATGATGTTACAATCAAGTTGTTAACATGAACTTAAACAATACTTCTATTAATTTGGTATAATTTTATTCTCTTCTAAGTAAATTCATTAATATTTTTTAAATTATTCATAGCTGTTGTTGTCTTTAATATGTGATGATGCATTCAAAAATATTTATGTAGGAGAAACATGGATGTTCTTTGTACCTAATTTAATGTGTTAAAAAGCATTTTTATTACAAGAACCCAAGTATATTTTGTGCAGGACTTTTTTTTAAGCTTGAATTTCTGAAATCTTATTCTTTTGAGAAGAGCAAGTGAATAATAATATTAACTGCTGTTGGGTTATTTCAGATATAGTATGCAAAATGGGCATGTTCTTAATGTTGCTTCTCGAAAACTGAAGAGCGTTCCTACTGAGGTATTTTCCAGTGCATTGGAAGCCGAAGTATGCATTGTTGACCTTTCTAAAAATTTACTGAGTGAAGTGCCTAAAGGGTAAATATTTCACAGATTTCATAATGTTTTAACTATGAGAATTAAATAATTCGATTCTGATTTGTGTTTATATCAAGACTTTAATTCGTGTTACAAATACTGAATGACAACTTGTTTGGTATCTGATGATATGTGTAAAGTGTGTTTGATGTAATGCATTCTTTTCTTTCAGTTTGGAAAAGTTGAATTTAAAAGTATCTGATCTGAATTTGAGCTGCAATATATTGCAAAAAGTTCCTGGATTTTTGGGAAGTTTTCAAAATCTTCAGTACTTGGATTTTGAAAGGAATAAACTGTCTGATCTCCCAAAAGAATTAGAAGGTTTAACAAGGCTGAAAGAACTTGTTCTTTCACACAACAGGTTTGCAGTTTAACTTTAACTCATCTAGTTTTCATCTTAAAATCAATATGAATTATTTCTTTACATTAAAAGTAAAAAGGATTGAGTTCTAAAATATCTTTGCTATCGTGAATTAGTTGATACAGAATTGTGGTAAGATCATGATTGAGAAAAAAATTGTATGTAATATCTGTGTATTTGCTGTACTGCAAAACTATTACAAATAGACCAGTGATACAGCATTAATAAATCTCTTTTGAGAAAAATCATAGTAATCCTGGACTCTGTGTGTAGGATTGGTCCTTTTATTTTCAAGAAACAGATGCAAAGAACAATTTGACATGATGACACTTGGGATGTGTAAATTTTGCTTCATTGTTTTAAAAAGGTGTATAAGTTTCTCAAGAGTGGATTTCTGTGTTCTGCAGGTTTACCAAAGTTCCTTTGTGCATATTCAATTTGTTTGGGTTGGAAATATTGAAAATAAGCGACAACCAGCTGACTGAAATTCCTGTAGAAGGTCTTTTGAATCTGAAATTTTTAGCCGTTTTAAATTTGAGCAATAATGACATTTTACAAGTGCCACCCTTGCTGGGAAAAATGACACAGTTAAGGTAAATATATTCATTTTAACATATTTTATTTTTTTCTGATCATTCTTTTTTTAAGGAATCTCACTCGTTAATTATTGTGAAATATTTGTACTCAAAGATAATATTTTAAATTTTTTCTGCCCTTATACTGAGAGTATTGAAAAGCGATGTACCCTCTTCAATTAATATTTTTAAACTTCTAACATATACCTAAATGTGAAATTAATGTTAATATTGAAGATATTTGCGAGATTCTTGGGAAAGATTCCAATGTACTAGAAATAAAATAATAAGTATATATCCTGTCGCTCTGTCATTTCCTCATGAGAATGTGTAATGTTGGAAATATTGTACACTAAATTTCTTTGCAGGACTTTAGAGATATCTGGAAACCCATTTCGTCAACCCAGGTATGCAATTCTTGAGAAAGGAACTGCTGAAATACTGAGTTACTTGAGAGATCGTATTCCATAAAATGAAGTGCTTAAAGCCACAGAATGTGTGCGTAAATGAAGTTGTTGCATAAAGTATTGTAAACACTGATTTTGTGTGTACATGTACATATCGTGTGGATTTTGTAAGGTAGCTGATCTTTTACTCACATTTGTTAATCTGTGTTTTAACTTGTAGTCTAGTCAGAAGAATACTCAGATAATAATGTATTCATAAGATTGGCATTATGTAAATAGAAAATGTATAATTGATTTTAGCATTTGTATATATTGTAACATTTTTATGCTTTATTCCATTTACTAACTCAAGATTTCTCGATCTCTAATGGACTCCTTCCTAGTCACTATGTTGTAGGCTCTACCTCGAAACTACAATACTCAGTATTAACTTTGAGCATTTTCCCTAATGTCTGTATAAAAAGTATTATTTCACTCGACAATATTGTTGTTGTGATTGGTTGTGGAATTGTTGTTGTATTGGGTTGTGGAATTGATCATCACCAATTGTATTTTTGTAACATGTTTCTCTCAATAACATTTTTCAAGCTTGTTTTAAACATGCTGCAAATGAATTGTACCTGAAAGTTACTTTATTTATAGCACATATCAAGTACAAGAAATATTCCATTTATGAATATGTATTATTTAAGAGTGAATATATTTGACAAAGAAAATATCTAGTGGAAATGGTTGTCTTTGTGAAAAGTGTGTCAATTTTTTGCAGTCTTAAAATGATGCTGATCACATAAGAGAATAATTTGTTCATGTGTAACTTGTAAACCTATGTTAGCTGTGTAATGATTTGCATAAAAACTTACATCAGATGATTTACTGTTCAATTTTTTAAGTAAATGCTCCTATCTATTGAAGAAATTCCTTATTTCAATAAATCCTTTTGTATTTATTATTCAGTATTAATTTTTCCTTTAATCAATGTCCTAGCAAAGTTGTTCATGTAGTATGAAATGTTCAAAAACTGCCCTACAGGAAAGTGGGGAGAGGTGGTGTCATGGAGGTCATTGCCCCCCCCCCCGATTTTAATATATGCACACTTATAAGCATTTAAAATTATAAATATATACTTCAATATTATATAAAATCAATTTTAATATACATAGCAACACATTTATTTTTAAAATTTAAAATGTTGTTAGGGTGTGAAGCCAGGGGTAGAAAATGTTGCTAGAGTAAATATTGAAACAAATTTCATTTAAGGTTTTATTTTCACTATCCATAATGTACAAATTGAAAGTAATGTATAAATCAATTTGTTATTTACATAATTAAAATAAATTTAAGAAAAATGTAAACTATAATTTTTTAAAAATGGTTCCCTGTTAAATATTTTATGAAACCATTCTTTGTAATGTAATGTGGCTCCTTGTTCCAAAAAACCCTTTGCAAACAGCTCTCACTCTCATTTGGAGTAGGTGTATTCACTAGTGTTTAAAATTCTATGGCTCACTTCACAGAGCCCATACACAACTGATGATGCAATTAGCATGTATGAGGTGAGACTGCACCTGTTAAAGGGGTATCCCCTCTCTTTTCCCCTTCCTATCTACCTGCGGGTTTGTCACCACATGACCTTGAGGGACAGTCTGAAGCAAAAGATGAGTCCCCCTTAGTAAAAGCAATGTGTTAAACACTTGTTTGCGATACATATCAACTGTTTTGTGGACAGTAGTTTATCACAAAGGACTAGTATTGAATTTCAGAAGCTATTTCTCACTTCATAGTATTTTAATTATATCTCAAAAAATAAAAATAACGTAGTTGTAACAAACCATTGGTACACATTTTTGTGATCACAGTTGGTTCCCTTGGATAAATTTCTCACATAAGAGCCATTCAAATCTTTCTGTTTTGGTAGAGCTAATGCTACTTTCTGTGACTGTACCTCTGCATGTATTGGCATGCCTGTAGACAAGAGGAGGAGGACCTGTCATTCGTAAGTGGGAATGCCTGTAGTACGCAAGGGCTTGTTATCACTGAAGTCACTTTCACTCTCTAGGAAAACAGTCCTGCTGACCCAGTCATGGGACATTGTGTGTAAGGCATGACAATGAAGTGGTCTGGGATTTCTTGGCTGCCATAAAAGGTAGGAATATTTTCATTCGTTTCTAAATCATTTTAAACTTGAGAAAAAAAGAAAGATAATGAATACAAATAATTTAAAAGCTCCTTTTAATACAAATATATTTGAGGATTTTTTGTAAATACATTGTAATGAAATGTTGCCTAAAAACAGTGACAGTTGTTAATTTTATTTTATAAAAGTAGTCTAATTTCAGTCTTGACCTGGATTACCATAATGAATTGTGCTTTTTTTCTTTTCCTTAGGATTTAAATTATCATTCCAAAAATGGTATACATACTTAATCTATTTCTCTTATTTGCCCTGCTAAATGAATCTTCAGGTAATTAAAACTGTTATTCTCAATCTTATTAGAATTATGTAAGATATTAGTTCCTGATACAAGTAATTGAATAGATTTTATATTCTTTAGATAATTGTGTAAAAATATTGTTTTTTAGGACAAATATGTAATGCTACTCAAACGTTTATCAAATCACGTAGTGTAACACTTAATTCCAACTTCTCTGTATTACTTTTTAATAATCCTGGTAATGCTGTCACAGCTGAATGTCAGCAACGGTGAGTGTATTTGTTGTCTTATGAAGTATCAGAGAAATAAATTCACTTTTAATAATATGTGTGAGTAATTTTAGTTTACTGTCATTAAAACTTGTTATTTTCCCCTAGGTGTTTAGCCTCAAGAAATTGTGCTGGGTTCTTGGTTGATTACACAGATGCATCATGTTTTCGTGCAATGACAAATGAATCTGTTATCAACAAAGAGCCAACTTTTCCTGGAATTACCACTAGTTATTATGAAAAATCTTGTTTAAATGGTTTGTTTTCTTCTTAGTAAACAGTTTTATGTCATTGACTATTTTTAATTATATTATTAACTACAGCAGTTATCTTCTACATATGTTTACTAAGCCTTCTATCATTGTTGACTATTTATAAAATATTTATTTTGTTGTCATTATCAATTACTGCTGCTTAATGTTGCCTATTCCAGGTTCCTAGTTAATTATTTTAGTTGTGGTGACCCCTTATCTTTTCATCCTATTGGCTTACATATTAATACTACATTCAGTGATTTCTTGTACTTCAATCTGTTGGTGTGAGAAAGCCATTTGTTCTAACCCTCTTTTGATGATATGGATTGAGAAATTAAATTGTCCTTATGATTTTAATCTTAAAGCCAATTTTCTGTGTAATTCTCATTGCAGTAGGGTATCATGCTATAACATTTTTTTATGTTTTGAATTGTGGTACAGATGTTTGTATTTGTAGTGTGAACATTAAGTTAATATCTTTCCACACTGCACATTGTGATAATTATAATTGCGAACTCAGGTTTGCGTAGTTGTGATTACGTATTTATATATTGTTTTTGCAAGTCTGTCTCTTCATTCACCTGCTCTAATAAAATGATTCCATCATTTTTAACACAACCTAAGTTTCTTTTTCATCACAAGTTTTGAACAGAAAACTTGAGGGTGTTCTTTTTATATGGTTGCTTATTTTTCTCATCACGTACTTGGTTATCTAAAAATAATTCATCACTAGTAGTTATGATGCTTTTGATTAGATGTTAATTTTTGACTGGCAATGGTTCCATGAGACTAAACTTAACACATAGTTTTAACTTTCACTTTTTGAAGCAATATTTAGTTTTTAAACAAGTATGTATTTAAAATTGTGATTTAAAATAATTGTTTTTATATATTGTTTAATTGTATATTGATATTTTGTAGTTATGAATTACTGCTTTTAGTTGTAACTCATAAATTTATTTCATGATTGAAAGAGACAATATCAGTTGTTTTTGAATATTAAGAATTGTTAATATTTTGCTCAATTTATTTTTAGTTCCTCGTGCATGTGGAAATAAACTTTGGACCCTGGAAAGAGTGGATGGATATGAATTAGTGGGTTTCTCACGAACAGTCATCCCCAACATCCAGTTGGGTGCCCATTGTGGTCAGTTGTGTCTTTCAGAGACTAACTTTGCATGTCGTTCTGCAATGTATTTTGCTGATCGAAAAGCTTGCTCTTTGAGTTCTGAGGATCGAAGAACTCAACCAAGTTCTTACAGAGCAACTATCTGGAGTACTCAATACTGGGAAAACCAATGTGCACCTAATGGTGAGATCTTGAAGCCTCATATTGGCCATTCAAAACTCCATATTTTCATTGCTTTTTCAATTAACTTGGAAATGTATATACTATTGTGTCAGTGAATTGGGTATCTAATATTTTCACCTGCTTTCAATGTAAACAAACAAATTTATTTATTCATGAAGAGATTAAAGCAAATGAATGTAAAAATTAGTGTGGAAATGGAGAAAGGGTTGTGAAAGAAATTTTTGTAGTGTTTTCAGATACAAGTTGCTCGCTAGAAGAATATGCAAATTCTACAATTTGTTGTGCTGATAACAAAGAAGAGAATGTAACACAATTTCAGGTAAGAAGTATGATTAAAAGTATGAGTGAAGTTGTTAACTACTAATAAAATGTTAAGAAACACTGTGAGGTTCAAAATATAAACAGTAATCAAATTCTAGTGAAGTGATATGAAATGTAACATCCAATTTCTTTTTTAAAGGTCTATAAAAATAAATACATACAGGTAGAAACATGATTAAAGTAAATGATATTGTTCACAATACAGACTTGTGGTGACAGTAGGAATCGCTAAGACTGTTTTAAGTAATGTTTTCATTGATGGAGCCCAGTTCATCAAACTGGCTGCAAATTCATATAATTTCAATTTTATTATTTTGTCCCTAAATATTTATAATATTAACTGCTCTTTTGCAGTAATAAAATTAATTATGAAATGTCTCTATTTCATTTTTGATATTATACTAATACAAGTTTTAATTATAAATGCTTGTCTGTTGAGAAAACTATCTTTTTGTGTTTCTCATCAACTGAATATTGTTTCAGTGTCAACAACGATGTAATAATGAAACATCATTTAACTGTCGTGGTTTCACTTATATTCCTGCAAGAGGGGATTCTGAAGCATCATATTGCCTTTTACATGGTGATGATTCATCAAGTATTGGGCCTCGAGGAGTACAATTTCTTGCCGGTGCTACATATTGGGAAAAAGTTCCTTGTTTACCATGTAATTTTTTTTCTTTCAATTTTTTACTTATAAATCAAACAATTTTAAAATTCCATACATTCAAATTTATAATTTTTTTAAAAGTATGTTATATATGTTAATGTTCATTCATTAATCAACACTCATTGATTTATTTTTCTGGTCCAAATAATCTTGGGAATTATTTTGCATAATTTTCTTCTTTTAGTGCAGGTCACTTGCACATCAGCTGGCATGAATGTTATTCTACATTCCCAAAATTTTCGTGGAAGAATGTACGTAGTTGGTCATTCAGAAGAATGTTACACCCAAGGACGCCAAGGAAGGGATGTTACCATCAAAATTCCTCTTCAAAGACAAGGGAGGGAGATTAATACTTGTGGTGTGATGATGGCTCATTCCATTGGAGAAACCAATAGGTGATATTCTTCTTTTATGCTTTGTTTTTACTAGATCAAAGTAAAATATTTTTTTATAAAATAGTTTGGGTTAGTTACAGATTACTGAGGTTCTATTCTTTGATTTCAGTTCCGTAATTGATTCTATTCTTAACTTTGCAGCAGCAGTTATACACAAATTGTAAAAATTTATTATTTATTCAAAACATTCTAAGAATGTTTTGAATAAACATAAATGCTCATCACAGTTAAAAAATAATTGTATTGAACATTTAAACATTTACCAAAATATAAAATTAAATTAAGGTAGGGAGAAGTGAATAAATTTCTATTGTGACCTTATTAGGTCCAGTTTTCTTTTGAACTCCTGGACATTAGAAATTTATATTCATTATTGTAATCATAATTTAATAATCTATTTAATAATAATATGGTTCTTAACAGCTACCAAGTATAAAGAGACTTTGCAATCCCAATTGTACTCTTCTACACTAGTGTTTGGGAACAGTTTCCCAGTGTACTGATCACAATTTTCTTTAAACATGTCACATACAGTTGTAGGTTATTTGAGGATGAATAAATCAAATAACAGAATATATGCTTACCCATTATTGTTGTAGCGGCCATTCAATATTTTCTTCATCTCTAAGTCACTTTTGTTTTTTCTCATAAAGTAGGCAATGACTTTTATCCAACTCTGTTACTATATTCTCCTTGAATAAGTTTTTGTGGGATTCATGTAACTTTCATTGTACTTTCTAGAACTCTTTTGTCTGCTGTTGTTATGGTGCAGTTCAACCCCATTATACAGCGTCGAGGTGACCGAGCAGTGAAGGTTGGATGTTTGTTGGATAGTTCCTCATCAAAAAATGTGACACTGGGAGTATCCTTGTCATTTTCTGGATCAAAGTAAGATAATAATATAATTTGCTCCTGGAAAATGAAAAGGATAAGAAAGAAATGCCCCGTAAAGAAAACAGGAGTAACCAATGTTCTTGTTTGCATCCACTAGTGATTCTCAAGGAGGGACCGTTGTGGTGAACTCAACTACTATACCTCCCACAGTCTCTCTTCGTATTGCAGATAGATTTCATCCAAATGAAGAGCTGCAAGAAGTTGTGTTGGGACAAAATCTTCAACTAAAAGTTGATGTTATGCCAGAAAACAGTGAGTTTCAAAGAATAAAGCAAACTGAATTTTCTTTTTCTACAGTGCTTCCACAGTGTAAATGTGATCATTTCTTTTTTTCAGGCACATTTGATATCCATGTATTTAATTTAATAGCAACAAGTAATGATGGAGCCGAGTCTTATTTGTTGCTTGATAATCGTGGCTGTCCTTCATCGCCAGATTTTTCTCCTCTAAGGAGACTTCGCCCAGGATCACGCTCTCTAGTTGGAGACTTCAGAGCTTTTAAGTTTCCAAATTCTGATGTTGTCAGATTTCGTGCTACAGTCCACTTCTGCCCAGATACATGTCCTCCTGTGAGTTTTTATTTTATTCTAGTTAATATCTGCAAATTTTGCAAATGCTAATTTTAGCAAAAACCAAGAATTTAAAAAATTTGTAAGTATAACTTGTTTGTTTGTTGGATAATTCCTCATAAGAAATATGACTGAGATTATCCTGTAATTTTGTGGGGAATATTCTACCGTAAACATTAGAATTATTATCTTATGTTACTTATCCTTTTCTATTCTTCAACTTACCTTTTGTCTTGCAAATTGTTTATGTATACTACTCTGACTTATTTAATTTGTTGCTATATAACCTACAGATACATTGGTAAACCAGCTTCTTTTTTTTTTTTTTTGAGACAACTGAATTTTTTTTTAGAGATAATCTTCAGTGAAAATTGATTGTTCTGTATGTTTCTGACATATACTTGAAACATTAATTTGTTCTGCATATTTCCAATAAAATTAGGAAAAATTTGTTTCAAGTTATGGGGATAAAGCAGCAAAAAAAGCAATAAAAAAGTTAGTATATAACAACTTTGAAGACAAAGCAATGTCAAACTTCATTATCATTGGGTATCACTTAGTGTCTCATGTGGTGACATTGATTTGAAGCTTAATTCAGGCAAATTTTATAAATGTCAAATGTTTTCCCAAAAAAGAATTTTAGCATAACCTAGTGACGAGGTTGTAACAATATTCTTATTAATATTTATGGTATCAAAAATCTATCAATATTGGCTTCAAAACATTATTAAATTTACTAGGGAAAGTGAACACATTCAAGGGTAATATTTTCTCATAAAAGTAATGAGAATATTTAAAGATTTTTTAATACAAATATTTTCAAAGACTTTTTTAATTAAAAAAATAATTTTTCATATGTTTCTCGTGACATACAAATGCATACAACATGTTTTTATTGGAAGTTTTAGAACAAGGAGAGTACGTTATTTTCAAAAATTTAATCTTTTGACAGACATTGTGAAAAGCCATTAACTTTTGGAGAAAGGAGTACCTGAAAAAAGGTGAAAGAAGTACCTATTAGTAATACAATAAGAACGAGTTGACTCAGGTGGAAGCCAACTCTCATAGCCTAGTTCCCAACTTCTTCTATTGTTCCAATCACATTCTCTAAGATGTGATTTCCATTGTTTCTCTTGGTAGCCAGGTATTTTTGGTCCATCTCTTTTTTTGCTATTAAGCAGTGCCCAACCTTTTGGCATACCCAGTGTGCACACCTTTTTTGGTCATCTATTATTAGGCATTTGGTGTACATGACCATCTTAATCCCTTCAATTCAATAGTATCAATAATATCAACTCTGTGACCATCTCTCCTCTGAAGTCACTTTTCCTAATTTTATTCATGCTCGTCAGTCCACAGCATCTCTGCCAGAACTCCATCTCTACAGCCCTTCACTTTGTGTTTCTGTCATCTCGCACATCTCTTGCCACCACATAGAGTAATGCCTTCTACTATGGATTTACAAATTCTAATATTATTCCTCATTTTTACCTTCTTACGGCATAGAATGTTATTATGTTTCCTAAATACTGCTCTGCCTTGTTCCATTCTAGATGCTATTTCATCTTGACAGGCGTCCTTGTCTGATAGCCTCTCCCCTAAATAATGGCCTCTCCCTTGGAATAATTTAAAATATTTTATTTTCTACTCTCCAGGTTCCTATCTGTCCATATCCCTCCAACAATGAAATACTCACTGTTAGAAGTATTAATTATTGAGATTCTCAGTTTTAGAGGTATGCATTAGTTGTTTGAAATTTTCATTCGTAGGTGGATTGCGTTGTCTCTCTTGGGAGGAAACGTCGTCAAGCTCCCCCTTCTCGCTCCGAATTTGAAGAATTACCTGTCCAGTTAGCAATTGTTGTCCGGGTACCTGAACCAGAATCAAATGCACTTCATTCCACAGAAAGTAAGAACAAAACATCTATTTTATAATAAAATTATTTTTATATGATATATTTGTTATTAGAATACTGTAACATTTTGAAATTCATGAGAAATTTCTTTTGCAGATGATGTGTGCATGTCGTGGGGTACATTATTGGGAATTATCTTGGCATGGATACTTCTCCAATTTCTTATATTGGGGACATGGTTTTTTGTTCTACATTTTCGCCGAGTGCAGAGACAAGATGAAACGAAATTACAGGATGATTTCTCAGGATATGATAATCGTCATGTCCACTGGGCAGACACTTAAATGGTAAGAAAATCGTACATGGTTTATATTCTTCAGTAAGGAGGTAGTGGAGCCCTCTTAAAAGTTGTATGTGGCTAAATCTAGAGTCTTTCAAATAGAGGCATATTTGAAGAATATTATACACATAATATACATGAATATCACTGAAAATTAATGACAGTTTCTGTTAAGGTAATTCAAAATTAATTTAATTTATGTTAATATAAAATCATTTATATTAAGTAAATAATTCTACTCGAAACTCTAACTCGTATTAAAAATAACCAGGTAGTGCTTAATATTTAAAAATAACTACAAAATCACTGGAAACCAGAAAGGAAATAGGATTTTCAAGGAAAATGACATTAACTTTTCTGTATGTGCTGCATTTTTGAAAGTGTATGGTATTTGAAATTAGTCATTACTATACTAATTATTTGATAAGGATTATGTTGCCTTAGAGGAGTGAATTCCTTTTTTTTTATTGCAGGATCCTGTAAAATTGGAAAGACAGAATTGTAGATTGTGTAAAATTAAATTTGTATATGTGTATATTTTCTGCAACTCTGTGAAAGGTTGTATATTTCATTATAAATCATGTACCATAAAATGTAGTAATTAAATAATGTATATTTGAAATATTGTTAATGTCTGTACTTGAAATTGAGTTTTTATGTTCAAATGTATGTGTTCACTTGTTAACATTGTTTCAATTAAATTAATTCCAAAAAACAAATTTAGATTTAATTTAACATATGTTATCCATTTTTTAAAACAAATTTTGCTTAAACTAAATGCATTCATGTTATTGATGCAGCTACATATTTTCAAACCCATAATTTTTTTTACAGTCAATGCCATTAGGTCTTTCTTATTAAAATATGAACCATATTCAACATCAACATTTATTCTTCTATGAGTTTATGAAAATAAATGATTGAAAATGTACCACTCTACTGTAACATACTTTGCAGTTTTAGGATTATTGGGTACAATATAACAAATAAATACATTGGAATTCATACATATTTGTATTAATTTGATTTAATTACTTCTATTTTACTTTCATCACATTCACACGCAGATATTCAGGATCATATAAATGAATAAATAAAAAGTGTTTCATTTTACTTACAGTTTCCATTACATCACATAACATGTTCTTTAATACGTGCGTTTATAGTATTTCTTTAAATAGGATATTAGTACATATTTGTCTTTTGTTTCTCTCCAAAAGAGATGGTTCAAAATCTCTGAGAGAGTTTGCTACAGTGGGTCTGCATTAGATTTGATAGGCACGAGAGAAAATGCATTTACTATTTTTTGCACATTCATACACTAGCAATGATTTCTAAAAGTAAGGAGATGTACCACAGCAACTTGGACTATCCCAAGAGATCACCCTTTTTCGTTGTGTTGTGTCATGAAATCTGGGGTCAGACCAGTCATGGGTCAACACACATCTTCTGGGATTCCACATAACACCGATTCAGAGGAAAGAAAATAATATGAATTTTGTTGTGCACTACATTGGTATAGTATTGAATACTAATTAGATTAGGACTTCAGAAGTTAACCACACTTTTAGGAATATGGAGGAATAATTGAGTAAGTCTATTAAGTATAACATTCTGTCTAATGGAAATTATAAGTATAACTTGTTTAGTTGAATAAAACATGCAAAATAGTGTGGAACTCATATACTCCTAAAAAAGTAGAAATATGAATGCAAACTCACTCTTCCGGATTCTGATGTTTTAAAGAACCGGTCACTCCTGCATTTCAGAAATTTGGAAGATCCTTGCACATAATTGTTTATTGATTGTATCTGAAACTTGATTCATAAATATAATTGCATCTCTTATTCCGTGCAAAATTGTATATTGTGAGGTTCATGTGCTTATTCTTCATTGGATGGATTCACTACATAATTGATATTTATGCATTATGCAGTCCTCATAATGTTGTTTCTTGACATATTTTTTAACAATCAATAAATTGTGTTATCAAACATTTTTCTTACAAAACTGATTTATTAAATGTAGTTTGTTAAAGTCGTCAGATCAGGTCTATGAGAGAAGCATACTCTCATGAGTAATTATGCAATTGAGCCAAGGGAACATCATTAGCAATGCACAAGAGATAACACTGGGGAAGGGAGTGGATTTGGATTTGACTGAAGGAGATCTACTTAGGACTTCCTCTGAGCATTTGTGATACACATCAAACTTTGCAGCAAAAATTTGGACAAGAGTATCCAATGAGCAGAAGAATATTAAATGTTCAAGAACATAACATGAATATAGAAACATAGCCTTATTTCTGTCATTGAAAACATTCATCAAACATCATTTCTGTATAATATATTACATTGAACATTGAACATAGAAAATAGTATTTCCGCATCAAAGTACTCACTTTTATAATCTGCATAAATTTCCATTTCAACATCAATCAGAATTTAGCTATTCAACAGCTGTTCACTGAACTCCTGGCCATAAAGTTGCAGTGGAGAGTGGAAACAACTTGAAATATCAACATTTAGAGCAATGATGGTGCTTTTTCTCTCTTTTCAACATTTATGGCATTGTTACCAATATTATATGCTTTTTAACACTTAGCATGTACTAATTAGTTATTTGCAATACAGAAAAATCAGCTATTACTTTTAAGGCCTGATTTCCTCCTTGGAAACTAAGCTTTCATAATTAATTTCACTATCATCATAACACCTTAAACAATGCATGAAGAACTTTTATTGACGTGATTAGGAAAAATTCATGATTAAATTACCATTCTCTACACACTTCACAATTGGGCTTGTTGCAGACTTTTGCAAGGAAGTTTTTGTGTTGATAGTGATGTGTTTATGAAAATTATCACTAATGGTGATCTTTCTATCATTCAAGTGTGTTTTGTGAATACATTTTGCTTACCTGAATCAATTTATATTATTGTTTCTGTTCCCAATAAATTAGTTGATAACTAAATTAGTTGTTCTTAAAATTTATGAAACAAAATACAAATTGCTTTGTCTCAACATATCTTTAAGACATGAGTATTGATGGGAAACATTTTTGGAATGAAAGAAAGTTTTTCATGTTGCAAGTATTTAAATAACTTGGTTTCATCCATGATGTTAATGCTTCTCTAGAAGAAATTATTCTACTCAGATTCAAACAATGAGTCTAGTACATGAAAACACAATTTTCAGTTGCTCTGTTGAAATAAACTTTCAAAACATAAGTCAAGTTTTGTGGTTCCAAATATTATTAAATTTCTTAAAGCAAGTTTGCTTATTTATCATTTCATACTCTTAAGTAAGAATATGATTAAATGATTTGTAATAAACATTTTTGGTATTCTGAAACACTGTTAGTATTCAAATTAGGAACCGTATTTCAATTGCTTAAGTGTACCTGCACAATACCAAGGGAGGCCTCATGCCCTATGGTTTCTTATTCTTTACTTGTTTGTCTGCAATAATGAAGAGTACCCCTCAAAAAGTTTGGTTATTTTGTGCCTGTACATATAAATTTAATCACTCACCACTTGTCAAAGAGTCAGAATCACACTCAACATCAAATTGAAATTTGCAACATCTTGGTAAGTAAAATGTTTGAAATATTTTATTATGTTTATATTTTCAGATTTAATGTTACACAATTTTATATAACTGCTTTAATAGGCAAATCTCTATTAATGGGTAATTTATGTTTCCAAGTATGTGAATTGAAACAAAAAATTTCTTTCTTCTTAAAAGTTATCGTGATAAATGGAGCTAATATTTTATTGCAGTATGTCTTTTTCAACTAGCATCAATTGTGACGTGTAAGAGATAACGTGACAGGAAAACTTATTGTCAAACTTCTCTTTCTTATTTTCTTATGTATTATTTTATCATATATACACAAAATTTTTGGATTGTACACATCAAAAGATACCAATAATGCTTACTGTTGGTTGATTCAATATTTAAACATAGTAGCTATGTTGAAATAGCATACTATGACATTCAGTCTGCCCTACCATCTACAATACTGAGAAGAAACACCCTAATTATTTTGGCTGTTGGTCTCCCATTGGTAATGCACAGAAATTAGATTTGTTGTTAATTGTGCGGGTTAAACAAATACCCTTCAATGCAGTGATGGGCAAATAAGTATTCTCAAAGCCTTGTTGGAACAATAGCTGAACTTCGAATGTTTAAAGCAGATCTACAAACTTAAAGAGGTATGTAGGAGAAAATCAGATAAAAATTTCTCCTAAAACCTTCACCATTCTAGCCACAATTATTTATTCACAATGTACTATCCCTTTAGAGAAGTATAATAATGAGACTATGAGAGCACTGTCCATCACTGCTTCAGTACATCATTGTGACAAAAGTGTTACTTTGACTTATGCTCCTTTGGAGGCAACAAGTTATGCATGATCCAGAAGGATCAAAATCCTTGCCTCTCACTTTTCAAAAACAGAAGACTGAAAAGTTTGTGTTATATTTGTCAAGGGAAAATGTCTACTTCAAGCAGAACTTCATTTCTCTGTTTATTTAACTTTTATAATTTGTTTCATTTTTGTGTGTACCACATTTACTGCTACACATGTCAAGAACTGATATTTATTTTTTAATGAAAATTTACTGCTTGTAAATATGATTTCTGAATTTTAAAAGATTTATTTCTTGATTATTTTTTAACAAATTAAACATTAAAAACATTTTATTTTTTTGCTGTTCTGTACAACCAATTATAAGTGCAGCAATATTGATGATAACTTTTACATTTAATATATAATAAATTAATTTAAAAAAGTTACAATGTTGTGAAATAATTAAAACAACCATATTATTGCTGATATAGAATTCTTTCTCTGTTTCACATTATACTTAAAATATATTTTGTCATTAAAGGTGTAATTAAATAATACTCCTATCAGTAAGCGTGTTGTGATACAATTCATCAGATAAGTTTTCTTATTTGATTTTGATGTGGTACACTTAAAAATACATTTTTAGTTTTGGTTATTTGTGAATTGCAAAGACCTTGGCACATTATCTTTATAAATTCCAGCAGTTTTTGAAAATTATTAACATGTAGTAGAGAGTTTACTGCATTTGTAGGATGTGATATTGTGAAGGAACAATAGAAACCATGACAAACAATGTGACAACCATAGAAATACAGCAGTTGATACCACAATGTCAAGACAGTTACAGTTTTTACTAACAGACAAATGTGTCCACAGTGTGGAGTGATACAATTAATTTCTATTACTAAACAATTGACTTACATTTCCCTAGGTAGTATATAGTTATGAGGCCATTGAGTAGATTGTTGCTTTTGTTTTTGTCATCCTGGATTTGATTTATATTGCAACACCGCACATATCATCAAACATATTGATAATTTTAATGAGAGAATCGAGATCAAATAGATCTTGTAGCCACCAGTGATGTACTTCCAGAAGAATAGACAATTTGTTCAAAGATTCATATATATGTATCAACAAATTAAGTACTAATTGCTTACATTTCTCTATGTACAATTCACAATCATGAAACAATTCTTAGTATATTTATATATTAATATATGTTAAAACATTCTTGACTAGTTGTTTTTACTTGTTTTTAATGATTTTATCAATACTCCTTAATGTTATTACTCTTAATCTGCAATGCTTTCTGCAGTTAGTTATACAAGGCTACTGACATGTTTATTGACAAACATTGTTATACACAATATACATCTACATCACTCTTCTTGGTATTCTGGATATAATTAATTTCTCTTGAAGATTATCTCACATTTGCAATTAGAACTGTGTTACACTTCTGACAGATATTTACAAGTGAGATGGCAGAAGTTGGTCCATTTTATGGTTTTCAAATTTGGATTTATGTTGTGTCGTAAATGAAATAAAACTAATATTAATTCACACAGAGAGCAAACTTAATCATCTTATGTCAGTGCAGGTCATTAAAAACTTTTTTATAGTTCAAGATAACTAAAGTATTTACAAGTAGAAAAAAACATAATAATTGTGAAGTAATAATTCTGATTAAGAGACTATCACTGATTTAACATCATGCTTGGGTGATATTGACTTACTTGTAGTATTTTTTTTCAACAATTACATGTATGCCAATCAATTTTCATTCAAGCTTTTCATCATGGCTGGTGTAATATCAAACAGTTTATACCCTGTCATTGATTCTATTATAAGTAGGCATTTTTGTCTTGCTGATGTACCTTTGATACTGGAAACAAATGATCCTTCCTAATGTGAAACATTTATGTAATCTAAAATGCCTCACAGGCCAATTCATTGCAAGCACTTTGTGTGATGAATACATGTAAAATTGACTGAAAATTAACAGCATTACCTATCATAGCATGAATGGTAAGCTTTTTTGAAACATGGAATGTGGAATGAGTAAATTCCATGCCTGAGAACATTTTACATAATTTTCTTAATTTCATTTTTCCTGATGCCAGTGCAGTTGGCCTCCCTTCAACGACGTTTTTAAAACGGAAAAAGAACATTAATGATTCACGACAGAACCAGCAAAAAAGAAATGTTTTTAGATACTTGTGATTTCATGTACAAGCCATGCCACAGTTTATTATTCACCACAAACATTTCCCTGAAATAGTCTTCTGCTTTGTAGTTTTATATAGTTTGAAATTTAAGTTTGAGAAGCATATTCATAATAGTGTGTAGAAAAATAATGTCACTGAAACTTACACTTAAAAGAATAGAATAGATTCACTTTCAAAACTACAAATTAAACATACATACATATACACAGATTCTTTAACTTATAAACAGTCTGCACTGTTCTGTTATTTTTAATATCCTGTCCAATGTGCCAGCGTTCTCATTCCTTTCACTTGCATACTGTCATAGATTTTTATTAATACCATGTGCTGAAAATTGTGTACTTAGCATTTTGGCATTTCAATTTTTTAAAATTTCTAGTTTTTTTTATGGAGAATTCTATGATATTTGTTGTTCTCATCTTTTTACATTAGTAGTTTTATTCTGTTGAATGCCAGGGACACTGGTATGAAGAAGAAAACTGCAAAAATATATGGTTAGCAGTTGCAACTTCCATTTTGCGGTCCTGTTGGTTGTTCTGTCAACCGCGTTCCTTTGGATCCTGCATTCATAAGATTTGGATCAGAGTCCAAACTCTCCGACATCTTGTCACAGATGATGTCCACTAACCTCTCGAATACCGTCTGCAAAAATACCATTAAATTAAGATAAGAACAATATTTGCAATTTTTACTCAACTTCTCTCTGGACTTCTTGAGTATCTAATTACTTATTGATACACATGAAAATTAATCTCATATTCATTTGCATAAATATTAATAGGCTGGGTTCAAGGACTCTGACTAATTTGTCATCGCTCTGTTTTAAAATGTACTAGGTGCAATGAATGAAATTTTATGTCAACAGTATAGGATCACACTGAAATTAAAGGGAGGAGTTCTATGCCAAATATTAATAGATATGATTACTACTACACTAATGTAGTTTTACAGTATTACCTTAATGTATAATATACATTAACCCATAATGATATTAAAATTATGATTATACTCATAATCCTCATTAATAGTAAAAAGGGACAACTTTCAATTAAAGATTACCTAATTGATCTCAAATTCTTGGCAAGAACCTTATAACTGTCATATTTTTCAAGAACCATTTGTACAATTATAGAAACCAAGAAAATGTTTTTCTGTAGTTAGGAGACAATTGAATGAATATGTATCAAGCTTAGTAAATTTCAATTCAAATGCTTAAGATTTGATAATATGTCTAAAATTCAAAGTAGTGGATTAAATAATTATCTTGGAAATTTCTGTGGACCATTTAGATTGGTGGGTGAGAAAGTATTTAAAATTTAGTATTAAAATGCTTTACAATCACTTAAATATTTTCTAGGGAAACATGCCACTACCAACAACAAGTCGCACATGAGCGTGCGTTCAAATGCACCGCCCGCCAGAGAAATACACAGCCTGCTCTTTTACGTAACACTTTCAAGGAGAGAAGAAGCGGATCGTAGTATCACGGCGAGATCGGCGACGAAATGATAACGTAGGCAAAGATCGAAAAGTTGGTGAACTTTCGATAGGAAGTGTTTTGTTCTAAAGAGTGTGAAGTCCAGAGTTGGGGAATGAAAAATGTAAGAGCATTGAAATTTGGAAAATGCCAAGGTAAAAAAATAATTTACTCATCTCTTGTCTATACTTTACGTTAAAAAACATTCTTCAGTTGTTTTGTCTATCAACTTTTTTTTAAAGGCTGTCGTTCGTTCGAGCTACGTCCCGTTTTTACTGATTTTGGATTATTTTGGCATGTTTGTTGGCTGTATGGAAATTTTGTTTAGAACTCGTGGTAGTGGTGGTTACTATACTTTTGTGGTGTGTAACAGTGTCTATTTGTGTGTGTATTTTTGAATACTAATTTTTTGTCGTGATTTGCGTCTTCATGAAGGCATCCAATGAAATGCCCTCACTTGATTTAAACGCTACCGTTGTCGCAAGCGTATAGCATGCTTTAATTGCAAGAAATCATTTCAGCAGTAGGGAACATTGCAGACTTGCATGTCGATTCTATGTGTAGCTACATTGGAAATTTTGTACCCAGAACGTCTGGTTAACGAGAATTAACAAAAACAAAAACAAACCAACAACAACAACAAAAGTTAAATGGAATCTAATTAGGTCATGAAGAAAAAAAATCTTTTTATGTATTGTAAATGTTACAATGGAATCTCAACCCATTTCAAAGCTAACCAATCAAATCTGAGGGTTTCAGCCACTCCAGTAATTTTATATTTGGGATTCATTTTCAGTGACTTTATAAAGAATTTTCTTTAACTTGTCTTGATTAGAATTTAGATTAAAAATTATATTGATGTCAATGTCACAAAAGTTTTCATAGTTAATAGTCAACACCTAATATTATTTCTTTCATATTGTAATTAATAAAAAAAATGAATTGGTTTATAGTATATTGTTTGTTCAGTTTACCTTCACATTTACATTTTCCTTTGCTGATGTTTCAAAAAACTCGATTCCCAATTGCTCAGCCAATTGCTTCCCTCTTTCATAGCTGATCACTCGTTCATCTTCCATGTCACACTTGTTACCAACTAATATGACTTGCGCATTGTCCCAAGAATATGTTTTTATCTGGGTAACCCTGGAAGATAAAAATGTGTCACAAAATGCAATGTTCTCCTCATTAATCTTCTATTCAGCAACTTTATTAATATTTTTTTTAGATCACAAGTCTTCAAATGTAGTTATTAATGTCAATGATTAAATAAACTCTCTCTTTCTGTTCAGACATTCAAAGGTTTTAAGTTCAAAAATTGAAAAATGACAGGAGTAATTTTAGTATTATTCTTGATTCTGTAATAATTTGAAGTGAACAATTCAGACTCACCAGTCTTGCACACTATTAAAAGACTCTTCATTGGTAATATCATACATGAGGATAAAGCCCATTGCTCCTCTGTAGTAAGCTGTTGTGATTGTTCTGTACCTCTCTTGACCAGCAGTATCCTAAAAAGAAAGGAAATTCACATGCATTATTTAATTTTATTTTGAGTTGCATTAATTGTAAGTTGCAGTAGCAACTGCAAAATATTATGCAATGTTGATTTCATAGTCCTAACATGTCTCATTTTCATAACAGGTTTTAACATTGTTAATGACTAGTCAAGAATTTACAGTGAACAACGGTATACAATAAATTAATTTACAAAGCCCAAGAAATATAATAAATGAGTAATAATTACTTAATTATTTTACATTGGTTTTGGTGATTACATTGCGACAGTGGAAACCATCAATTATTTCCTGTGACCGAAAGAGGTTCTCAAAGTTTGCCTTTAGGTTACATGTAGCAGGGACGGATCCAGTGATAAATTTTGTGAGGGGAAATTAAAAATGTTTTGGTTGAAGACGTAATTGCAATAAATGATACGTCTATCCGATTTTGTAAAATGTCGCATACTACACTCAACTCATGCGATTCGAGTTTATTCGTTTTAATGATTACCCGAAAATATATTTGTTTGAAAGTTTCGTGAGAAGTTAAAATTAATAGTTCCAGAACAATTTTAGGTGGGGGGATTTCCCTCCCCGTGGATCCGCGCCTTTATAATAGAGTAGCATGGGGTAAGAGTCCGATTAGCGTAATTGTTTTTGTGGAGTGAGATTGGCACTCCTGCAATATGTATTGTAAGATGTCATGGGTGATTTTCTGTGAAGAGAGTTTGGTAGTTCCAGTGCAAATACTACTACGAAAATGAGATGAGATTTGGACTAATTCGATGTAATTTGCAAGATATTTGAAATATGTTAATAGCACAGATATTAAAATCTACAATTAAGAGTATGGATATGAGAAATGTGACCTACACAACGCACTAGTAAATAGTTTCGCAGATGGCTGACAGAAAGAATCACAAATTAAAAGATATTAGGGAGTTTGTGTCACATTGAATGTTAAAGCACTATCGATCTTCTGCGCATGCGCAGTTCACGTTTCGCACCATTTTAATGCATCTGCGCATGCGTAGAAGATCGATAGTGTTGACGCTATGGCGAACACAAACTTGTCGGTTGGTGGACTGGTGTCGATAATTTCGAGGGAATTAATTTCCAAGTCGTTTAACCAAAAACCGAGGTTCACTGTAATCGAGGTTCAAGTACACTATAACCGAATCTTCTTATGCGTATTTGTAATATGAATGAAACGGAAACAGTGATAAGCTCCCTATAACAGAGGGTTTGCTAGATCTGAGTTCGCTTTAACCAGTCGACTGTACTTTGAATTTATTATAGTATTTAATTTTGTTTTCTTTATCAGGTATAATTTGGAATTAGAGTCTTTATTATGATCTTATAGAATATAGTATCACACTTAATCATTTTCTAATAAAGCTGATGTTACATTTCTTTAATGCGTATGAGCCTTGTAAACATTATTAATTTATTTATAAAGAAGTTTAGATATATTCGGACTTTTGTATGTTCGGACTTTTGCCCTTTTGTTAGAGGCTTTTACCTCGCACCTGGGACAAAAATCCGAACATTGCACTTCCTTCTTTGAGTATTTTTTTAAAGATGTCAAATTTAAAGAAAAGCTATTATTGTTTGGGTAGTTTATTCTTCATGCATGAAGCATAGCTCTGTGTAAGAAAACCGAATCAATAAACCAAATACACAGTGGAAACTCATTTTTGTATAAAAAGTACGGACTCTTGTCCTCCGTTACTTGACCCCCATAATTTGACTGAAAGGAGAAATAATTTAGATTTGTAAAATTTATCACGAAGAGAAAAAATATACTGTATGGTGATGATATCTTTAACCAGGAATAACTGGAAACAATATTATAAGCTTTTTAATAGTTTGAACTGATAAGTTCCTTTGAATCAATTTTACAAAATTCGGGTATATTTTATGACGTATGGTAAATCGTATTAGAGATGGTAAGATTTAAATTATGTCTTGAATCTATATTTCCATCTGTTCCGTCCGCCCACAGTCAGTCTGTTCGCCCATCCGTCCGTTGGACCGTTCGTCTATTCGTCTGACATTCCGTCAATCCGACAGCCTGTCTGGGTATTTTTTATTTAAACGTTTTTTACGAGTGTAAGTGGAAATCTTCAGAAGACATTAGGTAGCCCGTACTACCCAGCGTGTGAGATTTTTATTCACTAAAACCGAACATCAATTCTCCGTTCTCCCCGAACAGCCGATAGACATTATTATAGTCATCGCGAGGTGTAGAATAGTGCCTCAGTCACTATTGGCTCAATGAATAGTCTCCGTCTGCCCGCCGTCCCGTCGCCCCGTCTGCTCGTCTCTCCATTACCTCTGAAGATTTTCGAAAGTGGCAAGAGAGGAGCTGGAGGTGTGGTTGTTTAAGTTTAGGAGTAGAGACTTACGAAGTGTTTGCTTATGAAGCATTTTAAACACAGCACACAATACATTGACCTATCGATGTTACAAAGAAGCTAGTTACATCCTTTGACACACTGTACCGAAACAATTCAAATGCAAGTGTTTAATACTTACCCAAATCTGTAGTTTTACTCTTTTGTCGTGCCGAAATACGGTTTTCACCTTGAAGTCTATGCCTACGGTGGAGACGAAGGCAGATGTGAAGGAATCGTCTGCGTACCGGAAGAGGAATGAAGTCTTGCCCACGCTGCTGTTGCCGATGATGAGCAATTTGAACATATAATCGAAGTTTTGATCCGCCGCATCTTTCTGCCATTTTGGATCTTGGCCACCTGCCATCTGGAAGTCAAAACAATTTATGAGTTCTCTAAACACTTTGGCGAGTATCGGAGTGAATATTTGTGCTTGGAGACTCTTACAAACAAGGAGAGAAGATATTCCAGAGAGACACCCGTGGATGTCATCGTGAAATTGAACACCCGTGTCATGGTGTTATAAGTGCAGTCTATTTGGTTTCGCGGCGGTGATTGTTAAGTAAATAGAGCATGCGTTTTCGCAATAGACTTAATTTTTAAAAGTGGATTTCTTCACAAATAGTATAAACTGGGGTTACTTATTCAGAAGGAAGAGTAGTGCGCGTAGATTGATAGAAATGGTAGCAAATAGAAAATAAGGGATGCCAAAATACAGAAGTCGAGAAAATTTGAAAAGGAAGATATTCAGGTGCTCCTTGACGTTCCTAAATAGACATGAAACAACACGGCATTGGAAAACATTCCCCATAGTTTCCACACACTCGCATATTGAAAAATGCTTAAAACTTCTCTTTCGTGTATCGGCGCGAACTTCGCTTACGATTCAACTTCGCAACCAAATGGCCTGTAGAATGAAAACCCTCGGAAAAATGTTTTGTATGTGTTGCTTACAAATTATTTTCGAAAGGTGTTTTGGGGTACACTGGAGAAAAGCCTTGCTGTTGTACCATTGATGAATAATGTGATATTTATCTGATTTTCGGCAAATATCATTGTAATACTGCTGCTGCTGCTGCTGCTGTCCCGAGACGGGAGAATGATCTCCTTAATCTCAAACGTATCGCACCTAGTCCTGTAGGCGTTTTAGGACTTGCTGCTGAAGTGTGATTGATAATGAATTACCTTGTATATTTTTCTCAGAACGGATTTGATGGTCGACCGAGGCATATGTCTGTGGGCTAGGACGAAGTTAGTGGAATAATTTTACGAAGCTCTGAGTTTTTTTTCGTCAATACCTCCCTTGAATCCTTGAACAATAATTCTTGTTCAATGGATAATGCTTGAGGACGTTGTTCAAGCGTTCCAAATTCGTGTAATATCAGTTGTGACTATTTCCATGAAGATCATTTTCACGTTACCTTTTAATTTGTTTGTCCTTCATCAAAGCACAGTTGATGTACATTACAGATATTGCAAGTGTGTCAAAAAGTAGTTTCATTTTGTTCAACTTTGAAATAAATTAATCTATTTCGTTAATTACTGAACGAAACAAAATATAAGCAAAATACAGAAGTAGAAGAAACAAATTTATTGATTATAATAGTAGTTGCACCGAGGAAACAAGAAGAAAAACTTTGTTGATTTTCTCTTTGTAAAATGCTATGACCCCCGAGAATAATACTGAAGAGCAATGCCGTCCATTGGAGAGCTTCCCTTCCCTATATCAGATATGGACGTAGCTTTATTTTATATTGGCAGTGCCAAAGCCAACTATTAAAAAGTCCGCTAGGGTAGTATCGTGACCGTCTTTTATACCCGTGTATAGAGATGGCCGTGACAAGGTGTAAGGTCACTACAAACGTGACAATAAAGGAAGATGAAAATTGTGTTGAACAGTCTGTGTCAGTAGGCTAAAATTTATTTTTCAAATTTCGTTGCATTTTAATGCACTTTTTTTCTAATACAAAAGTCCCAATTATTCAGTTCAATCAAATGGCGATCACTAATGTCAAATGGATGTAATAATACTTTTTTAAAGTTAAAATTCAGTATTTTTTTAAATTTCCCACTTAAAATGGATTTAAATTTTAACCTTCAAACTTTATGATGTAAAAACTAATGAGTTTAAGATACATGTTATAAGTGCCTTCTATTTATTTTTCGATAAAAATTAACATATAGGGAACATTTACGAACGTAAAGAGACAACATTGTATTTGTAAAAGAAACACGCATTCAAACGTCACAATTTCATTGTGTTAGTGAGGGTAGTTTCATGTTTGGAAGGCACTTCCAGCAACTCAGTTTCATCAATTTCATCAGCAATTTCCTGACGTAATATCTGAGTTATTCGACTGAGCTTTTCATTTAGTATAGGGATTTCCCTTCTTATTTCATGGACTAGTTTTAAACTAATTGTTTTGCTTCATCGACCCATTACGTTTTTTCTACAATATATATCATCCATAATCAAGAATTGCACATAAGCGCCTTAAACATAACAATTTCGTACATCAATATTGTAATTTCTCTCCATTGCAATGCAATGGTTACAAAATGTTCAAGTTTTTTTAAGAAATGTTTTTTAAGAACTAGTTTCTCCAGTGCATAACGCGGAGAGTACTTTCTTACGTGATAAGAGTGCCATTGTGAATGAGTAATTATAATTTCTTCTTTTATAAATATTCTAGGTCTTGAGGATGAACAAAAGAAGAGAACGATTTATAATTTATTATCATAAGTTTTGTTGTTTTATACCAGAAAACAATTAAGTTTATGAATACGATTGATATATGATTAAGTTTATGAATTTTAATCAATAGGATAGGATTGATTATCCTGATGAGACGGCAGTTCATATTCGGCTATTGCCCGCCTCCTCCCCCAATCGATCCTTTAATCAACATTGACCCCCAGGGGATCTACATCCACCCCGTAGGGTAGCCCTGCTTTAGTATAAAGAAACGAATCAGGTCTATGTCGAACGGATCGGTTTAGCCGAAAAATTCCAGTTCATTTGACGTCGTTCTGCCGACCTGGCAGGTCGCCCGTGTTCGCCAGATCGCGTCGGACGCATTGTCTGCTCTCAAGTGAGTGTACGCCGTAAACAGTCATGTTCACCCGAATTTAAAATTTGACTGAACACAGAATCGCCCTATCAGTACCAAGTTGTAGGTTTCTGGTGGATGATGATTCTAGGAACCGACTGCTCGGCGGCTCTGTCGCGTATCTGGTTTATATTGCTCATAGTTTTGGCACTAGACGCTTTACAACACAGATTATGTTTACAAAACGCGCATTTATGTTTAACGATAATCACTTATGTACAGAACGTGACTAGATAAAATGAGAATGGAGTACTCGTAAAAGGAGACGAGCTAATCGTTCACTCAAACTGCTTGGCGCATTTGCCTATAGTTGGAAATCCACCGTCGAGTGTTCTGAAGTGTTTGGGAAGGGTTCTCAAAACCGACCTTGGAAAGGGCTAATCATTTACTGGTTACTCTATACAGTTATGGATATTTCAGGTTTCTAAACTGCAAACCAAGAGAGCGTCGACCTTCAGAAGTAAAGTATAGAGATTCGGGGCTAGCGGCAATTTGCTCTGAAAGGGCTATGAAAATAACACTGGGGAACAATTTTGTTTTTTCGTTCCTTCAGAATAAAAGTAGGGGATTTCTAAGGAAACGATCACGCTGATTTTCAAAACCATTATTAAACGTTTCTATCACGAAAGGTTCAAAAGATATGAACAAGTCCTATAGTAATTTCCGCATTTTCATTACAGTTATTTTACTACAAAATTTTATGAGCATGTTTCATATGAGGTAAGAACAAATTAAAGATGGAATACGCATATTTGTGTAATCATATTGAAACATATTGGAAAGGGAAATTTCTATTGCATTGCTTAAAAATGCTTTGCGCCTTGTCACTTTTGTATTCCTGTTTACTTTCTCTGACAAGAAGCCAGCAATAATATTTCATCATTGCAGTTTCTAACGCCCTTTGTATCTCTTCTCCATTGTAGCATTATCTTGATGAAGCTATACATCATGTTCATCAATAATATCATCCAAATTCCGCGGAAAAAATTAAGATGGAAGAGAAGAAAATGTATTTTAGAGACATTTTACACATATTTTTGTAGTTTTCTAGCCATTCTGTGATCAACGTTTTATAATTTTCTTCTTTCTTTGTCCCTGGAAATGCATGGACTACTCTCTTAAAGGATTATCAAGCTGCTAACTTAATTTCTCGCAACTTTTCTTCCAATATGAGTTTTTTGATTTATGGGTCGATGAAAATTCCTTCCTTGAATTTTGTATTACTCGTCCGTGGAATTATTTCACTGCTTTGAAACTATATTTTGAAGAATCTATAAACAAGTGCCATTCATGTGGAGTATAAAGAACACACAATTCACTCATTAACCCTCCAGTGTCTGCACGAAAACGAAAAGTACCATCAAGAGCAGAGTATTGAAAAAAGGTCTTGGGTCTGTTTCAAAACTCTGAATTTTGGTTCCAGCAGCAAGAAGTTTTCTTGACTGAAATCTGAAACCTAGTAGATCAGATTCTTTTTTGACAAATTCAGGTCCCGTTCAAAATCATTTAGTTCCTCCTGCTGTAATAAGTTCAGGCCAGTGTCAGACTTTCGTGGTAAGTAGTCTGGATCTTATGAAGTTGAGGCTTCTTTTTCTGGGGGAAACATCATCCAAGATTTCTTGATGATTTATTGACCATGCTTCCGGGGTACAGTCATTGGTAATTCGTCATTGTGTGACACAGGATGCATGGCAGAAGAATTACGTAGATAAGTGATGTGGACAGGCCAGATATCTTTATCACGAGGAAGTAGCAGTCATTAAAATGGATTGTTGGTATTCTACACAACATTGGTACGGCCAGTGACGGATTTGAATTTTCCATACAACCACAACCTAAAGTTCGTTCTACAGGTGGAACAATACTGGTGAGCAGCCCATGGTCTGTCCTGATCACAAACACGACAACCAAAGGATAAAGAACACGCAAGGTTTATAATTTCATATATCTTTTTCCTTTGAAGTTTGCGCGTATATCTTCCTGAAACGTAACAGAAGTTACCGAGTAATTTTGCCCGCTCTCGATGTGAAATGTCTTTTTGCATTTAATTGAACCGATTCAATGCAAAAGATCATGTGGCGATTGACACTTTATAAAACTTACAGAGGTATAATGTATTAATGTATTTGAGGCACACTCAGACGCGAACTTCACGCGCATTAAGGGTACAGACCCACACGACACCGACTGACAGAATCTGCCACCCCAATAATTGTATACTTGTATATGTACGATAAAGTAAAGGGATGAAATAATTCCTTTCGG